GGTGCTGGGGAACTGTGGTGGGGTGCCCCCAAGCAACCTCTTACCCAGGCTCAACAAACGCCTCTCCGCAGTGTCAGGGCCTTGGTGGCCCTTGGCTGGGCTCTCCCCAGTCCTGCAGTGTCCCCCTGCACTGGAAGGGGTGATGCAGACCTGACCCAGTGATGCAGCTTTGCTCCGCCAGTGCTGAATGGAGCCACCAGGACATGGCTCCCCTTTGTGGCTCCTGCTGACCCCAGCCTCTGCTCCTTCCCCTCAGAGGCCTTGGAGCTGCTTGGGGTTGTTGCAGGGCTCTGCTCGCCCTCACCATGCTTCGTGTGGGCGCAGTCTGTTGGGTTCCTCTCATTGCCAGCACATTCCCCTCAGCTGCATCAGAGCTGGTGCTGCTCCCAGAGGAGCACTGCTCGGGGCTGGCTGCCCCCTCAGCTTCAGGCCTCAGCCACAGCCCTTGGAGCTGGGAGGTTTGCTGCTGCTCCTGTGCTGCTCTGTTCCATGGCTCACCAGGGCACCAGCAGGGATGCGGCAGAAGGTCTTGCTAAAAGAAAGGCACGGGGCACCTCCAGCACTGACCACTGGGCACGCTGTTTAACTGGGAAAGGCCACCACATGGGTTGGGTGCATCCCAGCCCTGCTACATCCACACTGACTGCTCCCCATTCCCTCGTTCTTCCTGGTTTCAGAGGAAAGGGAAACTGCTCGGAGGGAGAAGGAGCCAGCAGAGCCCCCAGGCAGGAGCCTGGCCTGCAGGAGGAGGGGTGGGAGCAGCTCTTGGCTTTGCTGTGCATGGCGAACGCCTCCAAAGGCACAGCGAGTTCAGGGCTTTGCTCCTGTGGGGAACGGGGGGTTCCCAGTTGTTCCCTGGAGTTCTCTGTGCTGGTTTCAGGTGGAGCTGCTGGTGATGAAGGCGCTCTCGGTGGGCCTGGTGAAGGGCAGCATTGATGAAGTGGACAAGAGGGTGCACATGACGTGGGTGCAGCCACGTGTGCTGGACTTGCAACAGGTACTGGACGCAAAGGCACAACTGGTGTGTGCTGGGAGAGCTGGGAGGGGTCACTGCTTGGGAGCTGGGCTCCTTGGTGCTCTTGAGGGTGCTCAGGAGGAAGTGGATGAGCTTTTCCCCATTCCTTTTCCCATTGCTCCTTCAGCCTTTACCCTGTGTGTGTGGTGCCTTGTGTGTGCTGCCCTGAGCAGGAGGCACACAGTGACACTTGACAGCCACACCATGGAGCACGAGTGCTGGGACTGCTTTCCAGAAGGATGCAGGCGTGCGGGTGCTGCTTCAGGCCTCAATGCATGAACCAGTCCTGGAGTGTCAGGGTTGGGGGTGGTGAAGCTGAAGGTGCTGAGTGTCTCACGTGCATCCTCTCAACGTTTTGGGAGACCATTTAGGGGCCTTCACCTCAAAACCCAGACACATCAGTCCGTGGAGCACTGGATGCAAACGGTCCCTTCTGTGCCTTCCCATTTAACCCCCACCCTTGCTGTTCCCATGGTGTAGGATGTTCAGGAGCATCTTTCCCTACACGTGGCAGTTGTGTGGGGTGTGGGGTGTTTGTCCTGGAGGGTGGGCACAGGGGCTGAGGCTGCTGTGGGCTTGCCTTGCAGATCAAAGGGATGAAAGACCGCCTGGAGTTCTGGTGCACGGACGTGAGGAGCATGGAGATGCTGGTGGAGCACCAAGCCCACGACATCCTGACATAGAGCCCCTGCAGTGCCCCGGGAGAGGGAATCCTGCTGCTGCTGGGGCCAGCAGCACTCACCACTGACTCTGTACTGCGTTATACTGGGAGAGGGGGGAGGGGGGGGGGGGGGAGCAGCTCTTGAGGCTCGTTGGGAGGAGTAAGTGGCCTTTTGCTGTGCGAGCCTTTGGTGCTTGAAGTGGGATTTCCCTGCTCACCCGCATGGGTGGCACTGCCCTGGGGCCCCATCCTGCTGCGGGCCAGGGTTCATCCATCACAGTGCTGTGGGAGGATGGGGCTGGGGCCTGTCACGGAGCAGGGGCTGTTTGCTGGGTGAGGGCAGCAGCGGTGCCTGACCTTGTACCTGGTGTTAGGGGGTGGTACTGGCCTTAGGAGGGCTCAGCTGCCCCTGCCCACTGCAGCCTGAAGCAGCCTCCTGCTCCTGCCCGCCCTGCAGCAGAGGGGTTCCCAGGCAGTGGAAGATTCCTGCCCTTGGGGGGGTCTGGGGTTCCCAGCGGCTCCTGTGTGGTGCTGGAATAAACTTCCCTGCCTCCCCTTTCCCCTCTACCTGCGTCTGTGTCCTCAGCGCTTGCACTGAGCCTCTGCTCGGGGGGAAAGCAGAGCGGGTTCGTGGTCAGTGGGTAGCACCTTGTGCTCTGCTTCCTTTATGAAGCTGTAGTCCCAGTGCCTGGGGAAACGGCACTGATGGGAAGGCCCCAGAGAGGCCGGAGATGAGGAGGGTTTGTGCTCTTTTGCCTCTTAACAACTGCTCTTTGTAATGGGGTTGTTTGGCCTGACCCTGTCTTCACACGGATGGGAGGTCATTGTGCCCATGGGAGCTGGAAACGGATCTGAACTGGGGCTACCTCGGAGTGCCTGTTCCATAGAATCATAGAATGGTTTGGGTTGGAAAGGACCTTAAGATCATCCAGTTCCACCCCCTGCCATGGGCAGGGACACCTCACACTAAACCATGGCACCCAAGGCTCTGTCCAACCTGGCCTTGAACACTGCCAGGGATGGAGCATTCACAACCTCCCTGGGCACCCATTCCAGTGCCTCAGCACCCTCACAGGAAAGAATTCCCTCCTTAGATCCAATCTAAACTTCCCCTGTTTCAGTTTGAACCCATTACCCCTTGTCCTGTCACTGCAGTCCCTAATGAAGAGTCCCTCCCCAGCATCCCTATAGGCCCTATTGGATGCATAGTGCTCCTGAGTGCAAGGCAGCAGTGGCAGACAGGGGCTGTAAGTTGGGCAGGGGCAGAGAGGGGCTGTAAGTTGGGCAGGGGCAGAGAGGGGCTGTAAGTTGGGCAGGGGCACGCAGGGCTGTAAGTTGGGCAGAGGTGTGTTCACCTACCGCTAACCTCAGAATCGGGATGATTTCCTTGGGCTCCAAGTGGGTGTTTAAACCCTGCCCCTGTGTGTCCATGGTCAGGGGTTGTGGTGCCCATTCGGTTACTGCTGTGGCTCAGGAGCTCTGCTTGCCTCATCTCTGGGTCACCACAGGGAGCCTCGGGGGCTCTGTGCTGCTTGTGCCTCACTGCTTGGGCTCAGGGGTTCCATGCCAGCAATGGGCAGAAAGAAGCTTGTGGCTGGTGCTGGTTCTGCTCTGCAGGGGCAAAGGGAGCCGTCAGCCGCATCACACCCCCCTGTGCCCCCTTGGGCCTGAGCCTCTTCCTGGCTGGAGCTGTTGAGCTCCGGTTCTGCCCTCGGTGCTGGTTCTGCTCTGCAGGGGCAAAGGGAGCCTTCAGCCCCATCACACTCCCCTGTGCCCCCTTGGGCCTGAGCCTCTTCCTGGCTGGAGCTGTTGAGCTCCGGTTCTGCCCCCGGTGCTGGTTCTGCTCTGCTTGGGCCGGTCCCACTGCTGGGGTGGGGGAACCCCGATGCTGCCGCCTCCTGTGCAGGGCACTGGGACGTTCCCTCCTCCATCCTGTGCTTCAGGGCCCGCTCCTGGGCCACCGACCTCAGGGAGCAGGAGGCACCTGCGATGGGGACACTGCTGCGTTCCATAGGTATGGAGGGAAGGGGCTTCACAAAGCTCCATCCCCTCGGGGGGCCCCTCCCTGCACGCAGGGAATGAAGGAAATGGTCCCAGTGCAGCAGAGCGCAGGCACTGGGGCTGCTGCTGCTCTATTGAGCACCAGAACCTGGAGCCCTGTGTTCTGTGGGAGCCTGGCTGCTGGTGAAGGAAATGGTCCCAGTGCAGCAGAGCGCAGGCACTGGGGCTGCTGCTGCTCTATTGAGCACCAGAACCTGGAGCCCTGTGTTCTGTGGGAGCCTGGCTGCTGGTGAAGGAAATGGTCCCAGTGCAGCAGAGCGCAGGCACTGGGGCTGCTGCTGCTGCTCTATTGAGCACCAGAACCTGGAGCCCTGTGTTCTGTGGGAGCCTGGCTGCTGGTGAAGGAAATGGTCCCAGTGCAGCAGAGCGCAGGCACTGGGGCTGCTGCTCTCTCTATTGAGCACCAGAACCTGGAGCCCTGTGTTCTGTGGGGGCCTGGCCGCTGGTGAAGGAAATGGTCCCAGTGCAGCAGAGCGCAGGCACTGGGGCTGCTGCTGCTCTATTGAGCACCAGAACCTGGAGCCCTGTGTTCTGTGGGAGCCTGGCTGCTGGTGAAGGAAATGGTCCCAGTGCAGCAGAGCGCAGGCACTGGGGCTGCTGCTGCTCTATTGAGCACCAGAACCTGGAGCCCTGTGTTCTGTGGGGGCCTGGCCGCTGGTGAAGGAAATGGTCCCAGTGCAGCAGAGCGCAGGCACTGGGGCTGCTGCTGCTCTATTGAGCACCAGAACCTGGAGCCCTGTGTTCTGTGGGGGCCTGGCCGCTGGTGTGAGCCATGCACGGGGGTGAGGAGCTGCCCCTTGAGCTGTGGCTCAGAGGATGCCAGGGTACCGCAGTGGTGCTGGCTCCCAGAGCCAGTGCTGCTCCCTAACAGCTGATGGGGGAAATGAGCTGTGTTTGGGGCAGGAAGGGGACACCCCGGACCTGCAGCCCCGCTCCATGGGGCCATGGGCGATGTCCCTGCAGCCTGTGAGTGTTTCCTGCCTGGGATTTAACCGGGGTTTGCTCCGGGTCAGTGCCCTGTGTCCCTGGTGCCAGCCCCGCTGCAGGGGGTGAGCTCCAGCCCCATGGGAGACCACAGCTCCCCCATAAAGGAATCGCCTTTGTGGAGCCATGGAATGAGCGAGGCTGGAAAAGACCTTCGGGATCATCGGGTCCAACCTCTCCCAGCAGTGCCAGGGCCAGCACTGAGCCCCGAGCAGGGGTCACATCCGTGCCCTATGGAGGAGCTGAAGCAAACCCAACACCCCCAATGTGAACGGGAACTTTAATGAGCAAAGCCCAAGGGCTCCCCCCCGGCGAAGCTCTGCCCTGGGGCCTTGGTTCCGCTCATGTCTGCTCTCAGCAGGGCCCGGGGCTGCTCTGCTGCCCCTCACTCGGGTCTGCTCTTGTAGTGCTCGATGTTGCCCAGGATCCAGCCTGTCGGGAGCAGGAAGCATCCGAACATGATGGAGAACGCGATGGCTTGTTCCTGCAGGGGGAGACACGGAGGGGCCGTGAGATGGGAGGAGGGGTGGGTGGCACAGCAGGATCATAGAATCATAGAGTAGTTTGGGTTGGAAAGGAGCTTAAGATCATCCAGTTCCAACCCCTGCCATGGGCAGGGACACCTCACACTAACCCATGGCACCCAAGGCTCTGTCCAACCTGGCCTTGAACACTGCCAGGGATGGAGCATTCACAACCTCCCTGGGCACCCATTCCAGTGCCTCACCACCCTCACAGGAAAGAATTTCCTCCTTAGATCCAATCTAAACTTCCCCTGTTTCAGTTTGAACCCATTACCCCTTGTCCTGTCACTGCAGTCCCTAATGAAGAGTCCCTCCCCAGCATCCCTATAGGCCCCCTTCAGACACTGGAAGCTGCTCTGAGGTCTCCACGCAGCTTCTCTTCTCCAGGCTGAACAGCCCCAACTTTCTCAGCCTATCTCCATACAGGAGCTGCTCCAGCCCCTGAGCATCCTCGTGGCCTCCTCTGGACTTGTTCCAACAGTTCCATGTCCTTTTTATGCTGAGGACACCAGAACTGCACACAATGCTCCAGGGGAGGTCTCACGAGAGCAGAGCAGAGGGGCAGGATCAGCTCCTTGGACCTGCTGGTCACGCTCCTTTGGATGCAGCCCAGGATAGGGTTGGTTTCTGGGCTCAAGCGCACACTGAAGCCGGCTCATGTTCATTTTCTCATGGACCAGCACCCCCAAGTCCTTCTCCTTGGGCTGCTCTGAATCTCTTCTCTGATCAATGCACAGCAGGGTCAGTGCCACAGCAGGATCAATGCACAGCAGGATGGGTGCCACAGCAGGGTCAGTGCCACTGCAGGCTTGGTGTCACAGCGGGGTCAGTGTCACAGCAGGATGGGTGCCACAGCAGGATCAATGCACAGCAGGATCAATGGGTGCCACAGCAGGATCAATGGGTGTCACAGCAGGATCAATGGGTGCCACAGCAGGATCAATGGGTGTCACAGCAGGATCAATGGGTGCCACAGCAGGATCAATGGGTGCCACAGCAGGATCAATGGGTGCCACAGCAGGATCAATGGGTGTCACAGCAGGATCAATGGGTGCCACAGCAGGATCAATGGGTGTCACAGCAGGATCAATGGGTGCCACAGCAGGCTCAGTGTCGCAGCAGGATCAATGGGTGTCACAGCAGGATCAATGGGTGCCACAGCAGGATCAATGGGTGCCACAGCAGGATCAATGGGTGTCACAGCAGGATCAATGCACAGCAGGATCAATGGGTGCCACAGCAGGGTGGGTGCCACAGCAGGATCAATGCACAGCAGGATCAATGCACAGCAGGCTCAGTGTCACAGCAGGGTGGGTGGCACAGCAGGATCAATGCACTGCAGGGTCAGTGTCGCAGCAGGATGAGTGTCACAGCAGGATCAATGGGTGCCACAGCAGGGTCAGTGTCGCAGCAGGATGGGTGTCACAGCAGGATCAATGGGTGCCACAGCAGGCTCAGTGTCGCAGCAGGATCAATGGGTGTCACAGCAGGATCAATGGGTGCCACAGCAGGATCAATGGGTGTCACAGCAGGATCAATGGGTGCCACAGCACGGTCAATGGGTGCACAGCAGGATCAATGGGTGTCACAGCAGGATCAATGGGTGCCACAGCCGGGTCAGTGTCACTGCAGGCTCAGTGCCACAGCCGGGTCAGTGCCGCAGCCCCGGGACGCCCGCCCTGTCCCTCTCTGGGGCCGCAGCCGCCCCCGCCTGTCCCTGGCCGCGGGCCCGGGCTCCGCTCCCCGCAGCTGCCCCTGACTTTGAGATGACTTTGGCGGAGCCGCCGGCCCCGGCCCCGAGCCCCTCGCGCTGCCCCCGCTGCCTTCAGGCGCCCACGGGCTCCGGGGCCCGGGGACACAGCGGGGCCGAGCCCCAGGGGCAGGGCCCGGGTCCAGCCGGGGCTCACGGTGCACAGCCCCTGCCCCGAGCTCTGCCCCCCGGCCCGGGCCGTCTCAGGGGATGCAGGGGCCGCGGCCGGCAGCAGCCCCCGTCCTTGCTGGGGGGACACCAGCTCTGGGGTGAGTGCTCCATGGGGGGGGCACGGCCGGGGCTGTCCCTGTGCGGGCTGGGGGTGCTGCCACCCCCTCCCTGCGTCCTTGGGCTGTGCCTTGGCTTTGCCTCCCTGTAGCAGGTCCCTAAAGCCCAGAGGGTAAAACAGGGGCTCAAACAGGAGGAGCGGGTGCGCCTGCTGTGGGGAGCAGACCAGAGCCCGTGCTGCTGCGGGGGAGGCACCCGTCCTCCTCCCCCCCTCCCCTTTTGCCTTAGAACCCCCAAACCAGTTTGCTGCGATGCAGAGGGCGCTTGTGCCCCTCTGACGGGGGGTCCCTGCAGCTGGAGCCCCCCCTTTGTCCCCATGGAGCTGGTGCCCCCCCCGTCCCCCCGTTACTCACGGCAGGCGAGAGCGGGTGCTCCGGGGGCTGGGACCTGATGTGCGCTCGGGGGACCCGCAATGGCCGCAGCAGCGGTGTCAGGAGCCGGGAGCTGCGCTGGAGCCCGGGCATGGCGCTGGCACACGGGGAGGGGACGCGGCTCCTCGCACTGCAGCTGCCCGGCCCGTCACGGCTGTCACCGCTGTCACCCCGACACCGGGCAGGGCCATCCCATTCCCATCCCCGTCACGGGGCCATCCCATCCCTGTCACCGGGCAGGGCCATCCCATTCCCATCACCGGGCAGGACCATCCCATTTCCATCACCGGGCAGGGCCATCCCATTCCCATCCCCGTCACGGGGCCATCCTATCCCCATCACGGGGCCATCCCATCCCCATCACCGGGCAGGGCCATCCCATCCCCGACACCGGGCAGGGCCATCCCATTCCCATCCCCGTCACGGGGCCATCCCATCGCCATCATGGGGCCATCCCATCCCTGTCACTGAGCAGAGCCATCCCATTCCCATCACCGGCAGGGCCATCCCATTCCCATCACCGGGCAGAGCCATCCCATCCCCGACACCGGGCAGGGCCATCCCATCCCTGTCACTGGGCAGGTCCATTCCACCCCTGTCACTGGGCAGGGCCATCCCATTCCCATCCCAGTCACGGGGCCATCCCATCCCTGTCACGGGGCCATCCTATCCCCATCACGGGGCCATCCCATTCCCATCACTGGGCAGGGCCATCCCATCCCTGTCACCGGGCAGGACCATCCCATTCCCATCACCGGGCAGGACCATCCCATCCCCATCACCGGGCAGGGCCATCCCATCCCTGTCACCGGGCAGGGCCATCCCATCCCCATCACGGGGCCATCCCATCCCCATCACGGGGCCATCCCATCCCCATCCCCGGGCCGCTGGCAGCCGCCGCTCTAAAGGGTGCAGCAGCCCCGTCCCCTGCACGGGAGCTTGTCCGTCCCCATCGCCCTCTGCTCACCCTCAGCAGCACCCAACGGTCCACGTCTGAGAGGTCAAAGCCTGCATCCCCACCAGCAAGGTGGGGCCCGGCCATGCTGCTCTGTGTGATCTCCCCTCTCGCTTGTTAAAACCTTTAACACTCAAAGCGCCATGTGCTGGTTTAAGCTGTTGCTGATGCGATGCCGGATCTCTGCCCATAGAGAGCAGGACCTGGCTCATCCCATCTGTGGGGACAGCTTCCCCATCTCCCTTCACTGCCAGTGTTTGCATGGGCTTGAACCCGCACGCACTCAGGCTCCTCCGTACGCGGTGAGCCCCGCTCCCTCAGCCTGGCTCCAGAGCAGAGCCGCTCCAGCCCTCGCAGCAGCTCCGTGGCCTCCTCTGGGCTCGCTCCAGCAGCCCCACATCCTTACGGTGCCCCTCGGCTTCAGCACGGTCCCCCTGTGCGGGGTGACCCCGCCGCGGCCCCTCCTTCAGCAGCAGCTCTGCAGGAGTCCGCACGGACCCGCCCGGGGTTGTTCCCCCCGCAGTCGGGAATGCGCCCTCCTCTCCCGGCTCCTCTTGCAGCTCCAGGGTGTGCAGCAGCCCCTTCAGGTGGGCTCGTCCCTGGCGGAGGTTGGAGCCCTTTGCCCAGGGCAGTTTCTCGGCCAGGAGCAGTTTTGCCCCTGCTCGGGGTCAGATGCTCCGAGCTCGGCCGTGCCTTTGAGGGGGTTCGGCCTCCCTGCGGGAAGGGGATTTGCGGAGTGAAGCTCTTTGAGCGTCCCCTTAGCGAGACGAAGGCAGCGGTGCCCGAGCTGCGGGGTCACTGCGGGTAAAGCGCTGCCCCCGTGTGCTGGAGGAGGCTCCTGCACCCCGGAGCTGCTGGGAACCCACCGCAGCCACCGGCTCAGCCCTGGCCTGGGGCAGGAGGTTCGGGATGGGAATGGACTGAACTTGCTGCAGGAAGCGCTGAGCTCAGATCCTCGGGGGCCAAAGGAGCAGAGCTCGGAGCAGGCACCAAGGGGTGGGCTCCGCTGCTTGCTGCCCATCAGGGTTTCTCCAGGTATTGGCAGCAATAGGATGGATCCAGCCAGGCTCTGCCTGCAGGGAGCATCCTGCTCCTCGGCTGCGGGCTGGAACCTGGCGAGCAGAAGATGCAGGGAGCTCTTTGCGCCTTCCCACCCTTGTTTTGGTGAGGAGAGGACCCAGCAGCTCCTTTCCTTCCCCTGAACACTCACTGCTGCTGCTGCTGCTGCTGCTGCTCCTTCCCTCAGCCTCCTCCCTGGGGTTTTCCGGCAGGAAAAAGCTGCTCCAGGACGTGTCCCTAGGGAAACGCTCCCTTTGGTGCTACTGAGCTCGGTGGGACCCAGAGATAAGACAAACCCAGCCTTTATCTGTGCTCCCCAGACCCTTCCTACCAGCTCACGCCGCATTTCCAGCGTGCTCTCAGACCTTGGTTGATGTCTGTGTTTTGGGGCTCACAGGTGAATCTGGGGGCGCTCTGTATCTACAGAGAACACACTGCCTGACAGCAGTAATAGCGCGGTGGGGCTGGGCTCTGCTCCCAAGGAACAAGGGATGGGACAAGAGGAACCGGCCTCAAGCTGCACCAGGGCAGGGTTAGATGGAGCTGAGGAACAATTCCTGCCCCAGAGGGTGCTCAGGCATTGGAACAGGCTGCCCAGGGCAGGGCTGCAGGCACCGGCCCTGCAAGTGTTCACAAACCCTATAGACGAGGCCTCGGTGCCATGGGTCAGTGGTGGCCTTGGCACTGCTGGGCAATGGTTGGACTGGATGAGCTGGAAGCTCTTTCCCAGCCTGGTTGGTTCCATGGCTCTATGTGCAATGTCTATCCTGTCACTGCTGGGGTAGGGGTTGGACTGGATGAGCTGGAAGCTCTTTCCCAGCCTGGTTGGTTCCATGGCTCTATGTGCAATGTCTATCCTGTCACTGCTGGGGTAGGGGTTGGACTGGATGAGCTGGAAGCTCTTTCCCAGCCTGGTTGGTTCCATGGCTCTATGTGCAATGTCTATCCTGTCACTGCTGGGGTAGGGGTTGGACTGGATGAGCTGGAAGCTCTTTCCCAGCCTGGTTGGTTCCATGGCTCTATGTGCAATGTCTATCCTGTCACTGCTGGGGTAGGGGTTGGACTGGATGAGCTGGAAGCTCTTTCCCAGCCTGGTTGGTTCCATGGCTCTATGTGCAATGTCTATCCTGTCACTGCTGGGGTAGGGGTTGGACTGGATGAGCTGGAAGCTCTTTCCCAGCCTGGTTGGTTCCATGGCTCTATGTGCAATGTCTATCCTGTCACTGCTGGGGTAGGGGTTGGACTGGATGAGCTGGAAGCTCTTTCCCAGCCTGGTTGGTTCCATGGCTCTATGTGCAATGTCTATCCTGTCACTGCTGGGGTAGGGGTTGGACTGGATGAGCTGGAAGCTCTTTCCCAGCCTGGCTGGTTCCATGGCTCTGTGTGCAATGTCTACCCTGTCACTGCTGGCTCTCCCCAAGCTGTTCCCCCTCTCTGAGCACAGGGCAGGGGCTCAGTGTCCCCTTCCTGCTGAGGGCTCTGTGCCTGCAAGGACCAGGCACACTGATGTGGGGCCCCTCTGACACACTGGGGACATGGGCAGGGAGTGATGGGGCTGAGTGGGGAACCTCAAAGCTGCTCCAGCTGCAGGTGTGTGGAGGCTGATGGGTGGAAGCTGGCAAACAGGGAAGGCTTTGGGATAAAAGAGGTCAGGTATCGGGTGGATTTGGAAGGCTCCATCTGCTCGTGAGCATTTACTGAGCTGGAGGCACATCTGGGATCCAGGGGAATATCCATGTATTGCCTGAAGAAGAAGGCTCCTTAAGGGGAGACCTTAGAGCAGCTCCCAGGTCAGGTTGGATGGGGCTTGGAGCAACCTGGTCTAGTGTGACATGTCCCTAACCACAGCAGGCACTTGGAATTGCATGGTTTTAAGGTCCTTTCCAACCTAAACCGTTCTAAGATTCGATATGAAGTGGAAAAGGATCTGGAAATAACGGCAGAAAGTCACTGAGCCCAACAAATGCTAGAGATAAAAACTGGAGGCTGATGTAAGGTGCATGAGATGCACACGGGCTGTGAGTGGGGGGAACCCCTCATGAGCCATTTCCTGCTCATGGTGGCTGCATCTGGGCTCAAAGGAGTTGTTTCCATTGGTCCTGGGGCTCATCAGGATCAGTGTCTGCACCTGGGAACACAGATGGCACAGGTTACCTTGTTGGTACCTGTGTATTATAATGACCAACAGTGCTGGGTAACCTTGTTACTGCCACTTGGGTTCAAACTTAAACAGGGGGTGCTTAGGTTAGGTTCAAGGAAGGAATTCTTCCCTGTGAGGGTGCTGAGGCGCTGGCACAGGGTGCCCAGAGAAGCTGTGGCTGCCCCATCCCTGGCAGTGCTCAAGGCCAGGTTGGACACAGGGGCTTGGAGCAAGCTGCTCCAGTGGAAGGGGTCCCTGCCCTGGCAGGGGCTGGAGCTGGAGGAGCTTTGAGGTCCCTTCAATCCAAACCGTTCCCTGTTCTATGGTTCTGGGACCTCTCTGGGGACCTCTCGGTGCAAGCCGCTTTGCCCGTGGCAGGGCTGTGGAAGCAGCAGCGCTGGTGCCCTGCGGTGCAGGACGCTGGAGCAGGGGAGCCGGAGCAGGGTGCTCGCAGGCACCGCCTCAGCTCCGGTCCGTGCCGCAGCCGGGTCACGGGGAGGCAGCGGCGAACGGAGCCCAAGCTGGAACCTGGCTCCGTTCCCTCCGCAGCGCCTGAGGAGCAGGGTCAGGGCGTGCAGGGACAAGGAGCCGCTGCCTCGCTCGGGTGAGTTCGGGGGTGCAGCACCGGGGGAAGCGCTGCTCCCGTGCCGGTTCCTCCTTCCCCGCTGTGAGCCCTGGGCCGGGCCCGGTTTCACCATTACCGGTTGTCCCAGGAGGGGAAAAAAGTTGTTTCCTTCCTTCCTCCTCCGTCGGGCAACTTCCGTCCCGTCCCGCCACGGGGCCCGCGGAGCAGGGCCGGACCCAGGCAGGATCCGTCCTCTCCTCGGAGCCGCTCCCTCTGGGTTCGCCTTTGTTTGGTCGCAGTTCCCGGGGCAGAGCGGGGGTTTCTCCCCCGTTCAGCCCTGGTTGAGGAAAGCACCGGGGCCGTCAGCAGCCGCTGCGGTCGGGAGGGGGGCGGGTTTGGGGTGCTCAGGCCGGGCCGGGCTTCCACCGCCGCTTGGGGTGTCCCTGGGTGCTTTTGCTTTACCCTTCCTGTGTTACTGCAGTTCCTAGCGGTGCCTGCCCCAGCGGCAGCTCCCTTCTGTAAGGTGCCTTTTATAAATGTCTCTTTATATATCCTTAAATGTATGTATATGTAGATATGTATTTGTATATGTAGTTATAAAAATGCCCTACCCCAGAATCCAGGAACTGGGGGTGAGCTCGAGGTGCAGGAGTGAGGGGGAGCACAGGGGGGCAGTGAGCTGCGGAGGCCACAGAGCAGTGTTTAATAGCGCTGGGGGGAGAGGAAGGAAGAAGAGGAAGGTGGCTGGGTTGTGTTGGTGAGATCCTGTCACGGCAAAGGCAGCAGAAGAGGAACAGGAGGGGAACGGGAGAAGTGCTGGGGCCCGCGATGCTTGGTGAGGTTTGGGTGAGCTGGAGGTGGTTGGAGCGAAGAGGAACAAGGGGAGCTGCAGGAGGAGGGGATGCTCCTGCCCCGGCGCTGGGATGGAGGAGGTGGGGTCTGAAGGGATGCTCGCAGCAGTGGGGACCGCAGGATGGTGCCGGGGCTGGAGGGGGCCGCGCTCAGCCCCGCTGTGCCCCTGACCCTGAGTTGTGCCGCAGGGCGCTGGGGCCATGGCTGACGGCAGCGAGGACCCGGCCGTGTTCTCCTCCTCCTCTCTGCCCGCGGACCCGCGGCTCCTGGCCACGGTCACCAACGCTTACCTGGGCACACGCGTGTACCGCGAGGTCCTGCACGTGAGCGGCGTGTACAGCGGTGCCGCGGGCGATGCGCACCGCGCCGACGTGCCCAGCCCCGCCAACGTGCGCATGGCGGTGCCCGGCGAGGGCGGCCTGGAGGAGACCTTCACCCTGGACACCCGCACGGGTAACGGTGGGGCCGGGCAGGGTGTAAACTAACCCCGGTCCTGCTGCCTCCCTGCGCGCCTTCCCCCCGGGGCACCCATCGCTCCTCCCTCAGCCGCCGCTGCCTCTCTTCTGGAAGTTAAAGCCTCTTCGCCTCTCCCACAGGGCCCCATCTCTCTCCTCCCCGCTCTCTGCTCGCCTGCGGGTGTTCTTCCAAACCCACACTGGAGCAAGTGGGAAGCTCCCCTTTCTTGTGAGGATAAGAGTGATGTCCAGGCTGCATCAGTCCCTGCTTTAGCCAGGCTGAGCAAACACTGTTTGATCATAAAGCCTGATGGAACATTGTGCAGCACAAATCGTTCCCCAGTGGCTTGGCCAGATTCAGTGTGTTAATGGTGTCTGGTCAAAAGCTGTGTTTGGATCTGGACCTAAGGCAGTTCCTTTACCAGTAGGAAGCAGACAATAGGGGCAGAATGGGGAGCCTGGGGCAGAGCATCAGGTCCTGATGGTTCTGAAGGCTGATGGCTCTCGTTGTGCTTACAGGAACCTTCAGCCATGAGCTTCGGTCAACAGATTACGTGGCCACCCAGCAGATCTACGCTCACTATTCCCTTGTCCACTTGCTGGTGGTCAGCATCACCATCCGGCGGTCGGCTCCCACCACCCGACCCATCACCATCCAGCTCCAGACTCCCTTTGAGCCAAAGAGCCAGGACTTGGACCTGAAACAGGGACCCGACTTCCAGGGAGCACAGTGAGTTGGATCAGGGGGGCCTGGCCCTGAATGCATCCTGCATGGGCTGCTGTGCACTGTGTTAGGGGATGCGTGGCAAGAGTAAGGCTGGAGCCAGGCTGGGTGGGGTGGAGGCTGGTGCAAACCTGCTTCTTCACATAGGGCATATAAAACAAACCCCAAATCCAGCACAGAAACGCATTCATTACCTGCCACCCCGGGATTATTCCTGCCACTGGCATGAAAAAGGGCAGCGAGGGCCGCAGGGGGGGGTGTGATTGCACAGGAATGGGTTTGGCTTTGGAGGAGGTTCTGTTGCCAGCCCAATGCCTGGTGTGCCAGAAGCCAGCGCTCACGCACACGGGGGGCACGGGGGGTTTAGTCTGGATCCACGCAGGTTTGGGTGCTGGGGGGGGGGGTCCCAAAAGTCAAGTGCCCCCGAGTCACGTCCTGCATCGTGCTTGTGTCCAAAGCCGGTGCTGAGTCAGCAGGTTCTGAGGGCAGGCTCCGTGCAGGGACTGGTTACTAATTAGCATGTACCCTAATGAACTTAGCACCCTTTCACATGCTCAGCCTGGGGTCTAACCTGGGCAAGGGGCTCTTTGACCTGTGAGGGTTCTAATGACAGCTTGGTTGAGGACTCCCGGACCTGGTACCTTCTTGCCGGGCTGGCCACATATTTGAAGCATCTTGACTCTTACCATCCTTGAGCCCAACCTTTCCAGGGTGTCCTTGAGTAAACCATGCCAAGCGTTCCACCTGAGCTGCCCACCACAGTTAGAGCCCCAAAGCTGCCGAATTTTAGCATAAATAACTTGTTGAGAAGTTCCCATGTCCTTGAAGCCGTGTGCATCAGTTCTAGGGACAGAGTGGCCTCTAAAAGATGTGGTTGTCTTCAAGATGACCTCTCCAAGTGGCTGGTTGGGACTGGGGACCGGTTGTAATGAAGTTCAGTCTCATTTCTGGGGCTGCAGCACGGGGATGATGGAGCTTCCATCCTGGGTGGGAGCCGGAGCCTGCCCTCGGCTGCCGGGACAGGTCCCTGCGGCTCGGGTGTCCGTGCTCCAGCCCCGCAATCTCTGCTCGCCTCTCCCTGCCCTTGCTGTCCCCGCAGCTACGTCTATGGGAGGACGCTGGTTCCCGAGGTGCGGGGGGGGCCCTGTCCCGCCGTTCACATGCTCTGGACGCCGGTGCCCGGGGCGCTGACGCTGCGCGGGGAGGAGCGGGAGCGGTGCTGGCAGTTCCTGACGGCCGTGGCCGGCAGCGAGGAGGGGGCCGAGGGCAGCTACCGGCGGGGCCAGGCCTGCGCGGCCGCGGGGTCCCTGCACCGGCGCCACGCCCGCGCCTGGGCCGCGCTGTGGGGGGGCTGCAGCGTGGAGCTGGCCGGGCCCCTGCGGCTGCGGCGGGCGCTGCGCGGGAGCCTCTTCTACCTCCTGAGCTCCATCGCCCCGCAGCCGGCGCTGCCCTCCCACGGCATCAGCCCCGGCGGGGTCGCCAACGGCGGGCGCGGAGAGGACTACTGGGGCCACGTCTTCTGGGACCAGGTCAGTGCCGCCGCGGTACCCGGGGCTGGCGTCGCGCAGCGGGCGGGATGCAGGATGCAGGATGCTGCGATGCCGCCCCCGGCAGGAGGATGCTCTCCCTCCCGCTCCATTCAAAGAGCTGCCCAGACCCAGCTCCGTCCCGGGGTTTCCTCATCCAGGCTGTCTCCCACTCAAAAGTGAATTGTTGAAATTGAAGCTGGGTGCCTGGGGCTGCTGCAGGGACATTAGGGGTGAGACCCCACCACAGGGCGCTCCCCTTCCCCACTCTGAGGTCTGGGGCTGGGATACAGGTTGGTAGCCCCAGGGTGCTCCAGTGACTGGCACAGAGCCCAGGCACCAACAGCTCTTTGAAAGGAAGCAAGTTGAAACCTGCCTTTCCCCTCCCAGCTTTGGTGCCATCAGCAGGCCCTGAACCACTGGAAAAAGAAGTGTTTTCTGTGATGGGCACGTGCAGCCCTTGAGCATGGGTTTGGGGTGTGCTCAGTAAGCTGGATGGGCAGGGTGGCTTTGTCCCACCAGGGGCTTAGACCTGCTCTGGGGCAGCCACACCAGCGGGTGCTCAGCTCCATTGCATGGTGTGAGCAGGAGACACTGGGTGGTGTTGAGGCTCCTGCTCCCGGTCTGGTGGGGCTGGATCCAGTCCGTTACCAGCCTTGGTCAGTATCTGAGGGCAGAAGCTCTTCCCTGTGAGGGTGCTGAGGCACTGGCACAGGGTGCCCAGAGAAGCTGTGGCTGCCCCATCCCTGGCAGTGCTCAAGGCCAGGTTGGACACAGGGGCTTGGAGCAAGCTGCTCCAGTGGAAGGGGTCCCTGCCCTGGCAGGGGTTGGAGCTGGAGGAGCTTTAAGGTCTCTTCAACCCAAACCAGGCTGCCAAGGACTCCAGCCCCTGCTCCGTGCTTTGCACTGATCCACGCACCCCCAAAGCTGCAGCAAAACCTGCTCTGGTTGCACTGATTCTGCTCAGGGGATTTTAACACTGGCCCTTCGGTCCCTCCTGCTCCAGAGGTCCCAGGTGAAGCCACCCGGTGCTGGCTTTGGGTGCTTGGAGACCCTCGCCCACCATCCCTGGACACGCACACCTCTAACATCTTACTGGGGTCCTTCCATCCCCATAGAGGCTGGTGACTCATGGGGCTGCAGCTTCCACTGGTGGTTGTGGCCTCTGTGTCTCCTGCTCTGTGCTTCATCAGCAGAGCGCAGGACACTGGCACATCCCAGACCTCGGATGAGCACTGCTCAGCCTCAGCTGAGCACCAGTTACCAGCGTTCATCCCCTGCCAAAGGCAGGGCACAGCAAGGGCTCTGAACCTGGGCTGTAAACGGGTTTCAGTTCCAGCTGAGGCACATCTGGGTGAAGGCTGCAGCTCCCAGGCTCAGGTCCAGCAGATCCAGCCCTTGCTGTGTCGTCTTTGGCATTAACTTCTTACTGCAGCTGAGTAACTGATCTCTCTCAGCACCTGCAGTGGTCAGGGGCTTCCCATGCACCTTGTGTGTTCTTCCTGCTGATGCGTTGGGTTTGACCCTCTCCAGAGCCTCCCTTGTCTTGCACGATGGGAGGTCCCCCTGGGATCCTCCTAGGAGACCCGAGAGCAGCAGGCATGGGCAGGAGCAGTTCCATGTGGATTTATCCCTCCTGTTGATCCCATGGAATGGCACCTCTCAGGAGTAGCAAAATCGCAGTCAGAGCATTTGGGATGGAGGGTGAACTGAAGGCAGCGTTTGGGTGCCCCCCAACCCCTCCATCTGCTTCCAGGAGATCTGGGTATTCCCGAACATCCTGCTGTTCTATCCCGAGGCTGCCCGAGCCATGCTGGAGTACCGCATCCGGACGCTGGAAGGAGCCCTGCACAACGCACGGGAGCAAGGCTACGAGGTGGGGATGGGGACGGGGATGGGGGTGCTGGGCCCCCATGGGCACCGTGCTGGGCTCCGGGCTGAGCCGGGCGCTGCTCCCCCGGGCTCTGCTCCTGGCAGGGCGCGAAGTTCCCATGGGAGAGCGCAGCCACCGGCCGGGAAGTCTGCCCTGAGGAGATCTACGGAGCCCAGGAAATCCACATCAGCGGGGACGTGCTGGTGGCCTTCGAGCAGTATTACCACACCACGCAGGTACCGGCGGCTCGGCGCTGGCACTGCTCCACAGGAGCTCTGCTGCTCTCTGCTCCCATCAGTTACTGGTGGTGCCTCCGCTCCCTCCTCCAGCCCTGCCTGCTCTGGGTGGCTCAGCATCCTCTTGGCTCAAGCCAGCCCGGTTTTCTGCCCTTTCCTCCTGCTGCATCCATCTGAGAGCTCCTGTCCTGCGGCTGGGCTGGCTCTGGGCACCCTCCCTCACCCCCTGCTTCCCTCTGGCTGGGGCTGCTCCAGGACCAGAAGCTGTTCAGGGAGGATGGAGGCTGGAGGCTGGTGTGTGCCGTGGCTCAGTACTGGTGCAGCAGGATGGTGTGGAGCGAGGAGGAGCAGTGCTACCACATCAGAGGTACCGCTGCCAGGCCCGTCTGTAGGGATGGGATTGTGAGCAGAGGCTTGGGGCCACCCCCCCAGACCTGGCCTGGGGCACGGGGCTGCTGCCCTCTGGAATATCGCAGGGGTAATGGCTGTGTCCGTGCAAACACAGGACAAGATGCTCGGCTCTCTTCCAGCGCTAGAGTCTCTCAGCCCCTTCCCACTCACGGGACACCTCTAAATGTCCTCTTCCATGCTGATGCCACAAGCATGGGCGATGCCTTTGTGCCCGGTGGCACAGAGTGCAGGGGTTTAGAGGGGAAGGACTCGGCTCCAAGGGAGTTCAGTCCCATGCAGGACCCGTGGGGCTGTTGGTGCTGACCAAGGTCAGGCGCTGATGCAGGGGGCAGGGTACAGGGTCTCCTGCGGCACCGGTCCTGCTGCAGCACCTTGTGTGAGCGAGTCCAAGCTGGCCCTGGGGGGGAGCAGGGGGTGTCTGTGGGAGGAGGGTCTGGAGGAGCAAGGCTGGGGTAGAGCGAAGGGGTCTCCATGGGGCTGGAGGAGCCTGTGGGGTGGCTGCAGGCTGGCTCCGGTGCGGCTGAGCCCGGTGCTCCCAGCAGTCACGCGTTCAGATGTCCGGTTTCATGCACCTCTCGGGAAGGGGCCTTCTCTCCTCCTGGGCACGGGCTGCAGGAGGGCAGCCAAGGACGGGGCTGAGCTTGTGCATAGGGGAAGCTGAGCGGCTTGACTGCATGAGCGCCTCGGGGGCCGCCTCGCCTGGGCAGCGGGGGGTGCCTGCAGGCCGAGGTGCCGGGGCTGTGGTGCAGGTCCCTGCGCTCCTCTCCCGTTGCTCCCCAGATGTGATGCCCCCGGATGAGCACCACTGCCACGTTGACAACTCCGCGTACACCAACGCCGTGGCCCAGCGGAGGTAACGCCCGTGCCCTGCCCCAGCTCCCCCCTTCCTGCCCCGCTGCCCCCTTCCTGCCCCGGGGATCCTGCATGGAACGCGCCCTCCTGCTCTCCCCCTGCCTCTGTCGGAGCTGGCCCCTTTGCCTGCCCTTAGAAGGAGCTGCCCCATGGAGGTTCATTGGAGCTGCCTCAGGTGCCCGCATGAGGGCGGTTCCGCTCCACAGGAGGGTTTCTCTGCCTGTGCTCTATGGGATGCCCATGCAGGCAGGCAGTGGGGGGCCCCTGAGGCTGGAGGAGCAGGTCCCCAGCACCAGCAATGGAGGCTGCTACCCCGGGCTGTGCTCTCTCAGAGAACCCTTTCTCTGTGGCTCAATCAGTTCTTTCTGTTCCCTTCCTCCTGCTCCCCGCTGCGAGGGGTCCCAGGCCCCCGTCCATGACGGGCACCATTGTTCAGCTTGACTTTTGCAGCCCATTTGGCTCGAGACTTGTTGATCCCAGTGCCCGAGCAGTGGCTGCGCCGCGCCAGCAGCATCAAAGTGCCCTTTGATGCGGGGAGGGAATACCATCCCGAGTATGACGGCTACCGGCCGGGTGAGCGCAGGGCAGCGGCATGCAGAGCCTGCTGTCAATGGGTTCTGCCTCTCGGTTGTTGTTTCTCATTTGTGGCCTTATCAAACTGGGACATTTGGGAACACGGAGAGCAGGAAGAGACCTTTGGTGCTGGGGTGCAGTGATGGGGTTGCTGTGAGCCCATTGCAGATGGGTCTCACCTTCCTGCTGTGCGTTACCCTTCCAGCAGCCCCTGGCCTCTGGGAGGGAAGGGGCTGGTTCCAGTGGAAGTGGCCCAGTTTGGTGCCCCTGTTCTCCCCACGAGGGGCAGGGTAACCTGGGAGCTGTTCCTTTGTGGCCGAGGTTTGGGTGCTGTCAGCCTGGGTGCTGCCTCAGCACTGAGGGCAGACCATGGGCTGCTGCTCCGCTCTGCCGTGGCAAGGCAGCGGGGATGCACGGCCTGCCCGATGTGGTGTCTGCTGTGCAGGTCTCTGCATGCGGGTTTGTTCCCATCAGTAAGCAGGCCATCGGTGTGCCCGTTGTTCCCGGCTGGAATCAGGCCCTGACCGAGCCCATCCCCAGGTGAGCCGGTGAAGCAAGCGGACGTGGTCCTGCTCGGCTTCCCGCTGATGCACCCCATGAGCCCTGAGGTCCGGAGAAACGACCTGGAGATGTACGAGCCCGTCACAGAGCTGCACGGCCCAGCCATGACCTGGGTGAGCGGGGCAATGCCTGTGTGGGGTTCACAGCATCAGGGAGTGCCAGCCTGGTTCGGGTTGAAGGGACCTGGAAGCTCCGGTTCCAGCTGGAGGCTCTCTCCTGCAGAGCATGTTTGCCGTGGGCTGGCTGGAGCTGAAGGAGGTGCAGAGAGCCCAGGCCCTGCTCAACAAATGCTTCAGTAACATCACGGAGCCCTTCAAGGTGAGCTGGGGTTTGAGTCCCACCCGTGATGCCCCAGCCTGGCTCTGCCCGGCTGTTCTCCATGGGTCACATCACACCGAGAGGCACCACAAGGGTCTGTGCTGGCTGCATGCGTGGTCCCTGGGTTAGTGCTGCATTGAGCTGCGTGGGTGCACGCTCGGTCTCCTCTCTGTGTGCTTCCCAGAGCAATAAGGGGGCATCAGCTTCCTACTGGGCAATACAAAGCCCAGGGCCGGTATCATCCCCCCGGCTTCCATCTGCTGCCAGGGATGGGATGGAACGGGGGTGGTGATGTTTAGAGATGCATCAGAGGCTGCCCAGTGCAGGGTGGGCAGCAGGGCATGGGCACTGCAGCACCCCAGGTACATGACACTGACAGCAGTCAGTGCACACAGAGCCCCAGGCCCATGGAGGTCCCAGTGCCAGGGCTGAGTCCTCCTTCCTCTCACTGGAGCAGATCTGGGTGGAGAACTCGGACGGGTCAGGAGCCGTGAACTTCTTGACGGGGATGGGTGGATTCCTGCAGGCCATCCTCTTCGGCTACACCGGCTTCAGGTGAGGCCCCGCTTGTGTCACTGTGGTTCCTAAGCTATGACATGGGCTTGAGCTCTCACCTTTGAGCCGGAGCGATGGAAGGGAAAGGGACTCGCGGCATCCAGAGCATCCTCCAGAGCTCCCAGCAGGCAGTGACCAGACAGGAGCGCTGCTGATGATCCTGGAGGAAGTGTGGCTCCTGGTGGAGGTCAGGGTGGAATTCCCAGCTTTGGTCCCTTTCTCCTCCAGCCACATCAGTATGAGAGGCACTGGGTTCCAAAGGAGACAAAGGTGGGCTAACACTGAGCTCCTCCATCCTCTCTCTATGATCTCAGGGCTGTGCTCAGCCTGCCTCATGTTGATGTCTGCAGCAGAAACGCATCCAGAGCTGCCCATTCCATGGGTGGTTGTAGCCATGGTTTCTTGGCTCAGTGTGGCTGAAGCTTCCAGGCTAGGAACCACCAATTGATCTGGCTGTTGGTCAACCAATGGAAGAGGAAGTCCATACAGGCACCTTATGGGCAAACCCAAGCCTGCTTCTTTTATACCTTATACCTCCACCCCTTACAAAGGGGACCTTTGCAAATAGAGACCCTGGTCCTCTCTGCCACACTGGGCTGCCATAGGCCTATTCCCACTCTAAAGACTGGGAATGGAGTTGGGGAAGGTAAGAGACTTCCCAGGACACTTGGGAAGCTCAATGGCATTCCCTGGGTCTGCTTCTGGCTTAGCTGGAGCCTCAGCCCGTGTCCTTTGGACGTGGTGCAGCACAGCCTCACGCAGCCCCTCTGAGGCCGCATCCTGGTGCACACAGGAGGCTCTGCAGGTCCCTGTGGAGGAGGGCGCTCACCGGCATCCCCCAGTGTTAGAGCACCTCGGGGACACATCAAGCTCTTCCCCTCATTTCCACCCTCTCCTGCCCAAAGCAGCCGGCCCTGGAGCACGTTCTTGGTTGGAGTGGGGATGGAGCCCGCCCGTTCCTTGGTGGAGCTGGGAGCGAGCTGCCTGTGCCCAGCTCGGTGCCCTCATCCGTGCTGGGGGGCTGCAGATGCTCTGTATGTGTGTGTGTGTGTGTGTGTGTGTGTGTGTGTGTGTGTGTGGGTCGGGCCCCTTGGCACCGGCTCAAGCCGCAGGCACTGGGGCTGCAGCCGGGTGTGCAGGGGTGTTGAGGTGCCATTAAGCAGCCCTCAAGGCTGGGTTCGTGCCCCATGGAAGCATGGCCCAGGCTGGCGCAGTGCCTGAGGCTCTCCAGTCCTCGAGCCTCTCTCGAGTCCCCTCCAGTCCATTGAGCACACTGGAGGTGATGGTCGAGAGCTCTTAGGTAAGATCTGAGGGGGAGATAGCGGTGACCTCTGCCTCTTCTCATCCAGAACACACAAACGGCTCCATCTGACTTTGGGTGAGGCCTTGGGTTCAAGCTGTTGGCTTGGGTTTGATCTCTCGGTGGAGGAGCTCCTGTAGCGGTGCTGAGCCCCAAAACCTGAGGGGAGTGGAGCTGAGGTGGGTTCCTGGGGGTTGCTTTGCTGGCCTGATCCGGTCACAGCCGGAGGGGAGGTGAGGACCAGGCTCTGTGGGAGCATCCCCATTGGGGTGGCCCATTACAGGCAATGGGGCAGTGCTCAGGGCAGGTGCGGCTCAGGAGCTGAGGACCATGCCTAGGAGCATCTCCACCAGGTGTGGGGTGAGCTCCTGCATCCCCTGCCCTGTGTTCTGTGGCTGTCAGAGCAATGGCAGCAAGTGAGTACAGGGACTTGTGATGGGTACCTCAGCTGAACCTGCATCCCATTGTCCCAGGCTATGATCCAGGCTGAACCTGCATCCCATCATCCCAGCCCATGAGGCTGAACCTGTGTCCCATGATCCCAGCCTATGAGGCTGAACCTGCATCCCATCATCCCAGCTCATGAGGCTGAACCTGCATCCCATCATCCCAGCCCATGAGGCTGAACCTGCATCTCATGATCCAGCCCATGAGGCTGAACCTGCATCTCATGATCCAGCCCATGAGGCTGAACCTGCATCCCATCATCCCAGCCCATTTGGCTGAACCTGCATCCCACAATCCCAGCCCATGAGGCTGAACCTGCATCCCACGATCGCATCCCATGAGGCTGAACCTGCATCCCACAATCCCAGCCCATGAGGCTGAACCTGCATCTCATGATTGCATCCCATGAGGCTGAACCTGCATCCCACGATCCCAGCCACAGCCACCTCCCAAGCTCCTCACTCATTGCAGTGCATGGCCAGTGCAGGTCTGTGTGACCGGGTTCAATGGCAATCCCTGCCCAAGGCCACCCGTGCCGGTGCCCTGTCCCCCTTCCCCTCTCAGAGCAGGGCATTCCCAGAGCTTCCCAGCAGAGGTGCTGGGGCTGGCCCAGAAGCCGCAGTGGGACCCGAGCTGCTCTGCAATGGAAAACAGCATTTTCCTCTCTTTGTTCCTTTTTTATCCAAATAACCCAGCAGAGCAGAGGCCACAGAGCCCAAGGAGGACCTGGAAGGGACAGGAATGCTTTAGGGCCATAAGAGCACAGCCCAAGTTGGTCTTCACCGGGTGCTTCATTGGTGTGCTCTGATTTGCCCAGAGACCCTTGGGATGCACTAAGGACTGAATTCTGTATGTGAAGGGACACCAGGAGGGACATATCTGAAGGGATATCCAAGTCCTGATGCTCCAGTGTCTGAAGGGGCTGCAAGGATGCAGGAGAGGGACTGGAGTGATGGGACAGGGGGTGATGGGTTCAGACTGAAACAGGGGAAGCTCAGGCTGAGCTCTTAGGCAGAAGCTCTTCCCTGTGAGGGTGCTGAGGCGCTGGCACAGGGTGCCCAGAGAAGCTGTGGCTGCCCCATCCCTGGCAGTGCTCAAGGCCAGGTTGGACACAGGGGCTTGGAGCAAGCTGCTCCAGTGGAAGGGGTCCCTGCCCTGGCAGGGGTTGGGGCTGGAGGAGCTTTAAGTTCCCTTCATCCCAAACCATTCCATGATTCTGTGACTCTTTCTGCCCACAGAGGCACAGGGTAACGGGAGGTGCCTCTGGGCTGTGTCTGTCTCTGTGGGGAGGTGGCTGCCCCCCCCCCAGCTGCTTTCCCTCGTGGCCCCCCCTTGCTCCCATCACTGATGTGCCGCGGCCTTTCCAGGATCACAAGGTCCAGGCTCCGCTTCGACCCGGCCTTTCCCGACGACGTCCACGAGCTGAAGGTCACCGGCGTCTCCTACTTGGGCAACAAACTCGGCTTCAGCATCACCAGAGAGGAGATGGGGATCGAAGTGACCGCGAGCCCCGGGGCCCCTGCGGCACTGCCCCTGGAGGCGGTGCTGGAGGAGTCGGGGCAGCGCCTGCCCCTGCGCAGAGGTGCGGTGCCACGGCCGGGGCTGCTGCTGCTGCAGCTGCTGCTGCTGCTGCTGCTGCAGCGAGGGCCATGGGGGGGTCCCAGGGCTCAGGCTGGGTCTGTTGCAGGGCAGAGGATCTCGCTCCCCACGGCTGCCGGCTGGATCCAGAGATCAGCCCCTGGCACCTCCTGAACCTCGGCTGCTCTGCGCCGGAGCAGGGGCAAACTGAGGAGAGGATGGCGGAGAGGGGAAGGGGGGTCCCAGGCTGGGCCATAAACCCTCTGTCCCATGGGGCTGTGTGTGCTCTGGGTCCCTGTGCCCCCAGCACGGGTGCTGGGCTCAGAGCTGGCCTGGCAGCAGCTCCAAGAGGCTGAGCATCCTCGTAAGCAGCCCAGCATCCAGTGTGCTCACTGCTGTGTCCTGCAGTGTCTTGGCTTAAGGCATTCCCCATGTCCTGGGAAGCCCCGAGGGCAAGGAAGGGAAGGGCTGTGCCCATGTACCCGTGCAAATGGGGGCACCATACCTGCAGACCCAGCCTGCACCTTGCAGCATCCCCTTTGCTGGGTCAGGGTGGGGATGTCGATGGCATTCCCGGCCCGCCTGGGTCTGTCCTCACCAAACAAACCCCAGGAATCTCGGCTGGATCCCACAGTCTATAAAAAGCCCCTTGGCCGCTCCCTGCCGCAGGCACCATGTGGGAATGCTTTGGGAAGGAGGAGAAGTGAGTCCCCTGCCCTGTAATTACACTGGTTCCTGGTCAGGCCTCGTCACCAGTCACCCAACCCCTAATCAACGGCAGGGCAGCGTCCCTTTCATCCCCTCATCCCGATGACAGCCCCATGGGCTCGATCTGGCTTTGTGTGGGGCTGGCGATAAAGCCCCCCTGGCCTCTGGCTGCTTTAGGCCGGGTGGCACGGAGCATCACAGGGATTACTTCTTGTCCTGGCTGTGACGAGCCCGATCAGAGCGTGAAACCCCCGTGTTCACCGCGCCCCTTTCACCCCCCTGCACGACAGAGGCACCCCGAGGCTTGGTGTGAGGTGTGGGGTGTTTAATGAGCGCTGCCCGCGGCGGGGATGCTCTGTGCGTGCACACAGGGTAGAGGCAGGTGAAACCGAGCTGTGGGGCTGGGGGCGCTGCTGCAGCAGGGCCGATGTGGGGCTGAGCCCCCCCCCGCCCCAGCTCAGTGGCCACAGCGCTGGGTCACCTTGGACCAGGGGCCTTGGGGGGGGCACCAGCCCCGCGAAGGGGTCTCCACAAGCCCTTCGCCCCCATCACTTGTCCTCGTCGTCGCTGCCGTTGAGCTGGTAGGTGAAGAAGCCGACGGAGTCCTGGGCGAGCTGGGCCAGGTGGATGACGCCGGTGATGGCCAGCGCGGCCAGCACCAGCGGCAGCAGCAGGCTGCACGCCGTGGCCAGCACGTTGTAGCACCGCGCCTTGGAGCTCAGGCGCCGGGCGGCCTCCACGTCCCCGGCCACCCTCCGGTCCCGCGCCTGCAATGCCAGAGAAGGGGCAGCAGTGCCCCTGTGCCCTCCCCGTGTCCCCCCCCCAAGCCGGGGTACGTGGCTTTGCCCTATCGCAGCCCATGAGCAGTGCCAGGAGCGTGGCTGGATCCATCCCTGCTCTTTGCCAATGGGATTTTCCCTCCTGCGTATTCCAGAGCCCCACTGGTGCAGCCCTGACTTCCCCCATCTTTCCACCCTGGCCCAGTCGGGCACATGGGGGGGCTGGAGGCACCCCAGCACCTTCTAGAAGCAGCGGTTGGTCCTCCAGCAGTGGCAGGAGGCTGTGGTTACCTACGGGGGTCTCATAGCCTTAGCAGGAAAGGTGTGGGGGGGATTTACTTTGTCCCCTCAAGCAGCCTCCGAGGGCGCTGGGCTCTGGTTCCCCCACCCCAGCCCGCCCAGGGGAGCTCCTCGGGAAGCCGATCCCTTGGCACCAGCACGGGGAGGGCTCCCCGGTGCCTCCCCATGGGTCCCCCCTGCCTCACGGCCCTACCTTGACGGAGAAGGCGAGCGCCACGAAGCCGAGGCAGCAGAAGTTCATGTAGATGGTGTTGAAGATGGACCAGACGAGGTGGTCGCGGGGCAGCGGGGACCGCTCCCGCTTGCGCTCGTCCTCCCGCGGGTACGAGGTGTCCATGGCCACGGTGAGGGGCACCCCGCGGCTCTCCGGCTGCACCAGCCCGGCTGCGGCAGCGGCGCGGGGCCGCCCCTTATATAGCCCCCGGCTGCGGCTCCTCTATATATAAACCTGGGAATTACAGCCCTGGCGGGGCTGCGGTTGTCCCTCGGCTTGGCTGGGACACGGGACACGGGACACACACGCTGGGGACTGTGAGCCCATGGGGTTTACATCCAACCTTCCCCCTGCAGCGAGGACCCTCGGGGAGGACGGAGCCCTGGGGTGACTTTGAACCCAAGTGACCGCCACCCCGAGGGGTCGGAACCCGGTGCCTCCAGCCCGGTCCCCCCGGTGGTCCCGGCTGGGAAAGCCCCTCGCTGGCAGCGCCCGAGGCGTTGAACGGGAAGTGAGAGCCGGGATGCGGAGGAGCCGCTCGCACGGGCTCCGCTGGAAGCGGGAAGCGCTCGGGGCTGCGGCAGGACGGGGTTTGTGCTGCCCGGGAAACGGGGGCGCTGATTGATCGCTTCCCCTGTTCCCGAGCTTCCTGAAGGAACCTGGTGGGGATCCGGGCTGGGAGCGCTCAGCACCGCAGCGGGTGCAGGCAGGGAGCCGGCAGCTCCGCAGCTGCCCCAGCGGTGCACAAGGACCCTCTCCTCCTTCCCCGCTGTAAATGAGGTGACAAACGAGGGGCTTTGCGCTCAAGCTTTATTGTGGCAGCGGTGACCTGTACGTGTGTCACCAGCAGCGCTCTGGGGCTTGTCCCCGCCTGTGTCCCAGCCGTCCCCTTGCACGGCGGTGGAGCGCGGGTAGTGAGGGGGCACCGATCCTCTCCCTCTGCCCCCAAGCGGGGGCATCGTGGGGGTCACAGCAGCACCCCGGGGGTGGCAGCAAGCAGGGCCGTGGCCACGCAGTGTGCTCAGATGGTGGCGAGCACCATGGAGATGATGAAGATGATGGTGACCAAGAGGGTGAGGACCAGCAGCACGGAGCAGATGATGTTCAGCACCTTGGCACGGGTGCCGTGCTGCCGGGCACCCTCCATGTCCCCCAGCACCTTGCAGTCACGGGCCTGGGGGGCAAATGAGGGGCTCAGCGGTTACAGGGAGTTGTGGGGGGCGACACATCCAGGGGGTTGGTGGTGGGACCTCTGGGATGCATTACCCCAGCGTAGAGAGTGAAGCCACCAGCACTGCCCGTCCCCATCCCCAGGGTGGGCAGGTTTGGGGAGCTGCAGTGGGGGAAGATCGGGTCTGGGGTTCCAGGGCTGGACGGCATCAGTGGGGCTGGGATGGGAGGGTGGAGCTGGGGGTGCCAGGGCTGGGCAGCATCAGTGGGGCTGGGATGGGAGAGTGGAACTGGGGGTCCAGGGTTGGGCAGCATCGGTGGGGCTGGGATGGGAGAGTGGAGCTGGGGGTGCCAGGGCTGGGCAGCATCAGTGGGGCTGGGATGGGAGGGTGGAGCTGGGGGTCCAGGGTTGGGCAGCATCGGTGGGGCTGGGATGGGAGAGTGGAACTGGGGGTCCCAGGGCTGGGCAGCATCGGTGGGGCTGGGATGGGAGAGTGGAGCTGGGGGTCCAGGGCTGGGCAGCATCAGTGGGGCTGGGATGGGAGAGTGGAGCTGGGGGTGCCAGGGCTGGGCAGCATCAGTGGGGCTGGGATGGGAGAGTGGAACTGGGGGTCCAGGGTTGGGCAGCATCGGTGGGGCTGGGATGGGAGAGTGGAGCTGGGGGTCCAGGGTTGGGCAGCATCGGTGGGGCTGGGATGGGAGAGTGGAGCTGGGGGTCCAGGGCTGGGCAGCATCAGTGGGGCTGGGATGGGAGAGTGGAGCTGGGGGTCCCGGGATGGGACCATGAGGGGAATGGTGAGGATAGGGCTGCGGCGGGGTGTCCGGTTCGGTGTAGGGGCGTCTCATGTCCGGCTGTATCCGGGTTGGGTCGCGGTAGGGGGGTCCGATTTGGCTCGGGGTGTCCCGGGGCGCCCTTTCCGGTTGGAGGGGACGGGTCTGGGTCGGGGTTGTCGGATGGGGGTCCCCGGTGTCCCCCCCTCACCTTGATGGAGTGGACGAGCGCAGGGAAGCAGAAGCAGCCGAGGAAGGTGAGCCCGAAGCCCAGGAGCACGTTAAAGAGCGACCAGAGCACGTAGTCCCGGGGAGGCTCAACGGGGCCGCTGGCGGGGGTGGCGCCGGCCCCGGGGGGCTGCAGCGGGATCGACACCTCCACCTGCCGCGGCTTCATGGTGGTGCCACTGCGGGACGAAGGGAGCGGGATGGGTCCCGCACCGCCCGCAGCGCCGGAGCCTCCCGAGCCGGGACCGGTCCCGCACCGCCCGCAGCACCGGACCCTCCGAGCCGGCACCGGCCCCGCACCGCCGGGGGACCCGAGCGGGGTTAAGGGGAGCTGGGGCTGCGCACCGGGGTCGGGGGCTCCGCTCCCGCTGGTTTCGGTGCGCGCCGGGAGCTCCCGCTGCAGAGCAAGGTCCGGGGTAGAAAGAGAAAGAAGGAAGCGCCGGGGAGGCGAAACCCGCCTGTAGCAGGCGAGCCCGGGGAGCGCAGCTTCAGAGCACGTGGGGTCGGGACCAGCAGCATCCTTCCTGCTGGGGGCCCGGTCCTGGCGCCAGGGACGGTGCGGAGGAGCGGCCCCGATGGCTGCTGAGGAACGCGGGTTCCCGTCGGGGGCTGGACGGTTCCACACCCGTTCCCATGGGTAGCACTGGGGTGGGGATGAGCCCCCCGGTCTGCAGGGCTGAACCCACCGGGAACCAAAGGTCCCTTTTAACCTTTCCACGCCTGGAGGAGATGCACAAGGGGGTGGCTGGAGGCAGGCGAGGGCAAGGGGGGGTGTTCTGGGGGTGTTTGTGCTCCAGCCCCAATGCCTCATGTACGGCACTGCAGGAAAAGCTGCTCACAGAAGCTCAGTGGGGGTTCCCCATGTTGGGTATTGGGGTGCTGGCCAGGGACAGCCACAGGGACTGAGAGCAGCCAGTTTGCTCCTTATCCATCTGTTCTGAGCACCCATACAAGTGTCAATACAAGCAGTTGACCCAGTGGAGGGAAAGGTTGGGATCCAGAGGGACCTGGATGCGCTGGAGAGGTGGGAACCTCATGGAGTTCAACAAGGCCAAGTGCAAGGTTCTGCTTCCAACAGGGATACGGGACTGGGGCTCCCTGCTGGGGTCAGCCCAGAGCATCCCAAGAAGCCCCAGGACTTCTCTGCCCGTGTTGGCTGATTGAGGAGCTGGGGAGAGCTCCAGCGTGCAGTGACCCCAAACCGGTGCCATTCCCAGGGGCACCCACCCCGCGGCAGCGATGTGCTGCGAGGGATTTGGGCAGAACAAGCTGGATGCAGCTCCCGTGGGCCCAGGAGGAGCGGGAAGGGGCAGGAATGTGCGGGATGCAGCACATCCCACCGGAACCTCGCCAGCCCCTTGTGCAAGGGCTGCGGCCGCTGCCAGCGCTGCGGGGCCTGAGCCGGGTCCCGGGGGCTCAGCGTGAGGGTTCGGGGCTCATGAACAGCTCCTCGGGCCCTGATGGGGGGATCACACCCGCGGGATGCCCCTGTGGGCAGAGGCAGCCTCCCCGCAGCCTCCCCGCGGCTTCCCCCCAAGGAAGCAGCGCAGGAACGGGTGATTCACCAGGAGGCGGCTCCGCACAAGCCCCGTTGTTGCGGTGGGGCCGCGGGCACCGCCTCCCGAGCGCGGCTCCGTGTTCTTGGGAGTGAAAGGCCTCATTCCGCATCCTCCTGGCCCCCAGCCCCGGGGCTCTGAGGATGAGGAGCACAAAGGATTCCAGCGAGCTTTGCGAAGGGGGAGCCGGGCCAGCCGCGTGCTTGAGGCCCTGCCAGATGGGGCTGTGCCAGGCTCTGCCATGGGGTCCCGTTGGAGGCTGGTGGAGCCGGGCAGGGCCATGTGCTGGCATGGGGCTGCTGCCTCTCCCCACAGCACCTTGGTGACGGCGATGGCTGTGCGAAGGGTGGGTGCTTGTGGTCCAGTAGAGCCCCGTGGAGCCATTGCTCCGTCCCCACTGGTGGGATGGGGAGAGAAGGGGAAAGTACAAGTGAGGAAATGCGTGGGCTGGGATCGAGATACCTCAATAGGGAAAGCAAAAGCAAACTAAGGAATTCCTTCACCCTTCCCGTCCCAGGTGGGGGTTCAGCCATGCCCAGGACTCCCGCACCATGGCCACTTGGGAAGACAACATTGATCTGAATATCCCCTTTCCTCCTTCCCCTAACCTCATAGCGTGACACCACATGGTTTGGGATCCCCCAGGGTCAGCTGGGATCACCCATCCCGGCTGTCCCCACCCATCTCTTTGTGCCCCCCCGCCTGCTCGCTGGAGGAGCAGCAGAGCCCTTGGCGCTGTGTGAGAGCTGCTCAGCAACAACCAAACATCCTGTGTTACTCACCCTGTTTCCAGCACAAACCCAAACCAGTCCCAGCGCAGCCACTGGGAGGGAAATCAAACCTGTCCCAGCCAAACCCAGCACAATGCGAGCAAGGTTTAGGGGGGGTTCCTGTTGCACTTTGCCCCCATGATCTGGGATGGAGCCACATCGCTCACAGCTTCCCCTTCCCTCTGGAGGCACATCCGGACCCCGCTGATGCACGCATGGCTACGCAGTCCTGATGCAGCTCCTCTGGCTCAAGCCCTTTGCACGGCCCCACAGCCCGAAGTCACAGAGCCATGGAACCAACCAGGCTGGGAAAGCCCTTTCAGCTCATCCAGTCCAACCCCTACCCCAGCAGTGCCAAGGCCACCCCTAACCCATGGCACCGCGGCCTCGTCTATAGGGTTTGTGAGCACTTGCAGGGCCGGTGCCTGCAGCCCTGCCCTGGGCAGCCTGTTCCAATGCCTGAGCACCCTCTGGGGCAGGAATTGTTCCTCAGCTCCATCTAACCCTGCCCTGGTGCAGCTTGAGGCCGGTTCCTCTTGTCCCATCCCTTGTTCCTTGGGAGCAGAGCCCAGCCCCTCCTGGCTCCATCCTCCCGGTGACACCCAGCAGAGGTGAGGTGCTACTTGCATCCTTGGGGTGAAGGTGAACCTTACAAGCACTTTATATCCCCTGTGGCTGCCTCTTCCCCACAAGTACCCAGCTTCCCCGAACTCAGTGCATCCTTGAGCATCACCCCCATGATGGTCCTTGCCAAGGGCAGATCCTGTTTCTCAGCCAAGCTGGGGTGGGGAGATCCCAACCCCCTCCCCCTGCCAAAATGAACCCGAGCCGGTGGCAAAAGTGAAAGAAACCTTTATTTGAACCAGGTTTTTGGGAGGACGCATTTCTCCTCTGGGGCCCTTGGGGGCCATAAATCAGGGTGAAGCAGCAAGCAGGAAAACAAGCTCTGCCCCTTTGCTATAGGCAGTTTATGGGAGCTCAGCTCCCAGAGTGCATCCATGCACCTTCAGGGAGGCAAAGAAAGGCTCCACAGGGGCTGTGAGCAGCGAGGGAAGGAGGACAGGATCCCAGCAGGCTCCGCAGTGCTCCAAGGAGGTGTCGCTGTGCCTGTGCAGCGAGGAGGGGGCTAATTGGGGCCATAGAAGGGGTGATGCTCCTGCTCGTTCATGAAGCCCCTCATGGCGGTGATGGCGCCATTGGCGGTGAGGATGAAGATGAAGATGGTGAGGGCGAAGAGGGCGATGCTGAGCACCAGGGCGGTGATGTTGAGCTGCTTGGCAGTGGAGCCATAGCTCAGCGCTCCACTGTAGTCACCGAGCACTTTGCGGTCCCTGGACTGGAGGAGCCGGAGACAGTCAGTGGGGATGGGGGGGACAGTGGGGATGAGGGGGACAGTCAGTGGGGATGGGGGGACAGTCAGTGGGGATGGGGGGGACAGTCAGTGGGGATGGGGGGGACAGTGGGGATGAGGGGGACAGTCAGTGGGGATGGGGGGGACAGTGGGGATGAGGGGGACAGTCAGTGGGGATGGGGGGGACAGTCAGTGGGGATGGGGGGTACAGTCAGTGGGGATGGGGGGGACAGTCAGTGGGGATGGGGTGAAGGGGACAATCAGTGGGGATGGGGGGGACAGTCAGCGGGGACGGGGGGGACAGTCAGTGGGGATGGGGGGGACAGTCAGTGGGGATGGGGTGAAGGGGACAATCAGTGGGGATGAGGGGGACAGTCAGTGGGGACGGGGTGAAGGGGACAATCAGTGGGGTTGGGGGAGCCTATGGAGGGGGACACTCGGGGGGCTCAAGGTTGCAAGTAGATGGGAAAGGTGCTGACCCCTTCTTCAGAGCCTCCAGCCAGGGCCAATGGTCCATGGGGGGGCTTTGGGCACCCTTGTGTTTGGGGCTTTGTGAGACTGACTCATGGAGCTACCTGGGACTGGGGGCTCTGTGGGTCCGTGAGGGCTCTGTGGGGTCTATGGGGCACCCCGGGGTTGGGGCTCTATGGGGTCTCCCTCACTTTGGGGGACTCTATGGGGTCTCCCTGGGCTCGGAGTCTCAGCGGGGTCTCCGGGGCCGCCCCCATCCCATCGGATCGGTGATGCCCGGCTCCCCACGCCCTCCCCCGATGGGAACCCCGTCCCCAGGGGCCCCCCACCTTCACGGAGTAGACGAGCGCCATGAAGCCGAGGCAGCAGACGTTGGCGTACAGCGTGCTGCAGATGGACCACGCGAGGTGGTCGCGGGGCGGGGGCTCCGGGGGGGACTCCACCGGTATCACGGCGCTCCGAGGCAGCCCCTGCATGTCCAGCGCCGCCGGCAGCTGCTCGTAGGGCGCCCGCGACCGCTCCATCCCGCGTGCGGCTCCAGGGAAGGTTCCGGGGCAGGCTCCGGGCTCCTCGGTTTCGTTTTCCCGAGACCAAGAGCGAGGCGGGGCGGTCCCTCCGTGACCCTCCCCCCCTTCCTGTGCTCTCCCCCCTTTGATGTTTTCTGTTTTCTCCACCCCTCCCTTCCATGGTCCCTCCTTTACCCCCTTCCTTGCCCCCTTTTTCCTTGCTCTCTGCTTCCCTCGTCCCTCTCTTTGCCGCCTCCCGGGGGCCGTCTGGGGACAACCCCGAGCGTTTTGGGGTGCTTGGCACAGGAACCCGGAATAAGGTCCCGTCCCCATGGCGCAGGGAACCCCCTTCCCTCACGCCTTTAGCCCCACATCCCCGCTCCCGCACTCCGGCTGCTGGAGTTTCGGTGCAAGTGGTCCAGGCCGATAGGGCACAACTTCATGGGGTTGAAGGGACCTTAAATCCCCTCCAGCTCCAACCCCTGCCAGGGCAGGACCCCTTCCACTGGAGCAGCTTGCTCCAAGCCCCTGTGTCCAACCTGGCCTTGAGCACTGCCAGGGATGGGGCAGCCACAGCTTCTCTGGGCACCCTGTGCCAGCGCCTCAGCACCCTCACAGGGAAGAGCTTCTGCCTAAGAGCTCAGCTCAGTCTCCCCTCGGGCAGGTTCAAGCCATTCCCCTTGGCCTGTCCCTACAGGCCCTTGTCCCAAGCCCCTCTCCAGGTTCCCTGCAGCCCCTTTAGGCACTGGAGCTGCTCTCAGGTCTCCCCTTCTGTCCTGGGTTCAGCAGGAGCAGTCATTTTTGTCCTTCTTGGTAGCTGGTGCAGTGCTGTGTTCTGACTTTTGGGCTGGGAACAGAGCTGATAACAATGATGTTCTGGTTTGGCCAAGGGCTTTGGGAGCCTCTTGCTCTGCCAGGGAGGAGGGGAAGCCGGGAGGAAGCAGAGACAGGACACCTGACCCAAACTGACCCAAGAGGTATTCCATAGCACAGCATGTCATGGCCAGGAGGGAACTGGGAGTTACCCGGAAGGGCTAGGGACTGAGGGGTTGGAGGAGGTATCGGTCAGTGCTTGGTCGTGCTGGGGGGGTCGAGTTATCGGTCGCCTGGTGCTGAGGTGTTGTATTCTCTTCCCTTGTTATTTCCTTTATCATTACTCATATTGGTGGTAGCAGCAGTGATTTGTGTTATACCTTAGTTACTGAACTGTTATCTCGACCCATGGGAGTTGCATTCTTTCTGATTCTCCTCTCTGTCCCTCCGGGAATAGGGGGAGGGCAAGAGGGGGGGAGTGAGTGAAGAGCTGTCTGGCTGGGGTTAAACCACGACACCTTCACACAGCAGAGGGGCAGGATCCCCTCCTGGAGCTGCTGTTCACGCTCTGGGGGCGCAGCCCAGCACACGGGGGGGTTCTGGGCTCAAGGGTTCACTGAAGCCAGGTCATGGGGAGCTGCTCCTTACCCAAGAGCCCAAGTCCTGCTCCTCAGGGCTGCTCTCAATCCATTCCCATCTGAAGCTATTACACAGATGGACCTCCGTAGTATGGCAGAGTATTACCTTTGTTAGTGCACTTTAATTCATGTTATATATCTTCACTGTATTCTATAAGGAGGTAATAAAGTTTTACAGGCAACTCTGGGATTCTTCATGCTTAAATAAACCAAACCAAAGGACAACCCAGCCCTGGGCAGGACTTTGCTTCTCAGCAGCTTCAAGCTGTCCTCAAAGGATAAAGGATGTCCCTGGACAGGCAGGATCCCACAGCATCCTATCGCTGTGACACATCCCGGGCATCCCAGTAACTCCATCAATAGGGACCCCAGGGACACCGGGACTTGGTGATGAGCCCAGTCACTGCTGGAGCACTGAGAGGGTGTAAGAGCCCTCTCTCTGTAAAGGCACATCTGGGGTGCTCTGGTCAGGCTGGGACCGCATGTGCATGGGTATTTGCTGTGTTGTTCTACCCTGCATGTCCCACTTCCCCCCTTCATTAGCATGAACTTTTCGGGATGACACATCGACATTCCCAAACCTCCTGCCCCCGCCCCAGGGCCACTGGGAAGAGGCTGAATTGAGGTCCCATGAGCGAAGGCTGCACAGTGGCCTCCTGCTCAGCGGGCTGGAGAGGTGCAAGAAGCAGGGGTAACAACCTCTTCATTGCGCCAGATGTGCCTCTTCCACATCCATTGTCCAGAGATCCCCTTCATCCCGGCCTCCTCCTCCTCCCTAACGGGACCGAGGTTCCTGCTCGGTGCCCTCCACCCCCGTTGGGCTGAACTGGGCTCAGTTACCAGCTAATTACCCTGCGAGGGAAGGAGCGCAGAGAGCAGCGATCCAGAGCTCTGGTGCCCTCTAGTTTCCCAGCTGTGGATGTGGTTTTTTTCCTCTGTTAACTGATTTCCCCCGGTTTTTGTCCCCCGCTTTAGCCGCAGCGAGGAGGAGGGGCTGCCTGGGCTTGTGCGGCGGGGAAGGAGAGCAGGAAACGAAACCAACCCGCTCTGTTCTCTGGCCGAGGCAAGAACCGGCCCCTGCATCGGTGACCTGAGTTGTGGCCGGTCTTAGCCTGGCTGTGCACAGGCGACCCCGGGGCCGTGGCGAGCAGCTCCTCCGAGGCACACGGTCCGTGACTCCGCCACCAGCGGCGACGCCGCGGTCACCGTGGGCATAATTAAGTTCGACTGTTAATTAGTGTTGTGCTTTGCACAGGGCGAGCTCCAGCCCTCGCACTTCCCGATGGCCGAGGGGGTTCCTGCATTCATTCCCACGGGATGCCCGCACCCAGCATAGAGGACCAGGGCGATCCCATCCCTACGTGATCCCTGCAAGAGGGGGTCGGGGGGATCCCTGCACCCACCGGGGCAGGGCGGGGATGCTCGCATCCATGAGGAGGGATCCCAGACATCCCCCCCCGCCCCAGACCGGACCCGGCGCGGTCGGGCTCCGCAGGTCCTGCCACAGCCGCGCCGGAACGTACCATCCCCGCCGCGGGGGGAACGGGTCGGGGGTCGGCCCCGCCGATGCCCGTGTTACCCATCCCGCCGCCCCCCGGCTCTCCCCCGCTCGCAGAGTCCTTCCCGTCGCTTCCGCCGCGCACGGATATGGACGGGATGGGAATGGGATCAGGGACACAGCCAAACCCCCCCGCGCCCCACATGGCCTCGCCCGCGGCGCCTCGCAGGGATGCCGGCCCGTTGGCGTGGAGACGCGCGGCGCTCTGCGGGCTCCTCCCCCTAGGGGCTCCCATTGGCTGCGATCCCGAGCTGGGCGCCCCGCAATTGGCCGGCGGTGCCGTCGCTCGGGCCGAGGGGGCGTGGCTGCGGCGGCATTGGGGCGGTCCCGGTCCGCACCACCCGCGCCCCGCCCGGGCCCGCTCATTCATTCCCCACCCGCGGTACCGGCGCCACGGGCCGGCGGCGATGCCCCGGGCGGTCGGGGGCCACCGCGCCGAGCCGCCCCGCTGCCGTCGCGGCCGGCCCGGAACGAGCGGGCTGGGCGGGCGGGGGGCTCGATGGGCCGCGGCTAGGCCGGCGGCGGCGGCGATGCGGGCGGCAGGATGCCGCGGCTCCCGGTGAAGAAGCTCCGGAAGCAGCTGAAGCTGCTGCTGCTGCTGGTGCTGCTCACCTTCGCCGTCTGGTTCACCTACCTCCACATCAGCCTGGTGCGCCAGGGCCGCGCCCTGCGCCTCCCCTTCGCCTACGGCAGAGGTAACGGGGGGGGGGGCGAGGCGGTCGACCCTCCCTTTAACGGCGGGGGGCACTCCCCGATCCCCATCACCCCTCGGTGCGAGCTCTCGGTGCGGTTTGGGGTCCCCCTCAAAGAGCGGGGGATGCCCCCCACGGCGCTGGGCTCCCTGAACCCCCCCGGTTCCGCTCTCACCCAGCGCCCCCAAGGTGGGACCCCCCCCCAAGGTGAAACCCCTCCTCGCAGGGCGGGTCCATCCCGCATCACCCGGGTGGGTCTGGGGAGAGCAGGACCCCACCGCGGGCACCTCGTGCTCTGCCCTTGTGCCTTTGGGATCGGGGGGGATCCAGGGACACCCAGGGTGGTCCCCAGACAGCCTTGGGGGGGGGGTGTTCATCCTTTCTCTCGAGCGGCCCCGTCCTCGTTTTTCCGCCCGCCGCTTGGCTGCGATGACAAAGAGGCCATTTATAGCCACTGTCGCTGCCTGGAAGGGGCAAACCCAACCCGCCCATCCTTGCCCAGCAGTCTCTCAGCTTGTGCTTCCCTATCCAAATAACCCCCTTCCTGCTCCGACCCTCTGGACACCCGGGATGCGATCCGGGATGCTCCGAGGGGCAGGTGCTGGTGCCCTGCGGTTCCGCTTTGTGGTGAATTGCTCCCAGTTTTACCTTTGCAGACCTCATTGGGCTGCTTGGAGGGGACGTGAAACTCCATGGAATATTTGGTGTGTGCAACTTGAGCTGCAGCGGTTCTGCTCGGGCTGCACTTGTGGGGCTTGTCCTAAAAAGATAGGAAGGAATTGGTGCTTATTTAGGCAGGGAATGGCGGGGAATGGCTTCCCTGGGCGCTCGGCGCAGCCCTGGAGGTTGGGAAACCCGAAGTTTCCCACCGGAGCGGCAGTATGATCCTGCAGATTCTGGGGCCTTACGGGGAAATGGGGATAGCGCCGATGGGAGCAGCAGGGACCCTGCATCCGTCCCAGCAGAGGAGGGGTGCGGGGAGGCTGCGCCGCTGCTTCCCCTTCCCCGCTGCAGGGTCGAGCCCCATGGCAAAGCCACAAGTAGCAGCGGTCTGACCGCAAAGCGGCTGCCCGGGGTTATCCTGGGTCATCCCGGGTTATCCCGGTTGAGGCAGGGCCGAGCTCTTCCTCTTTCGGCTCCGGCGGCCTCGGGCAGGGGGAGACGGCACCGCAGGATTTCCTGGCACGGGAGGATGCTCGGCGCGGTGCCTGCGTGCGCCGCTGCCTGCCCGGGGGGGGTGAGGTGCTGGGCCCTGTTCCTGCCCTCCCTCACCTCCTCCCTACGTGCGCGGCATCGCAGCCTGTCCCGCGGGATGCTCCAAGGGGGCTGTGCGGCTGCTGCGGCTTCTGCAGGGGAAGCTGGACCTCGCCTGGGCTGGGTCCTGCCTTTCCGTGCGCAGGGAGATGCTGCTGCTTGCACTGGGGTGCTGAAAGCCCTGGGAGCGTGGGGCAAAGACAGGGTTCAGGTCCCACGGAGGCTTTTGGGAGTGCAGTGATGGAGAGGGGCTGGTGGAAGGGGATGGGATGGGTGGAGGCTGGGGAAGGGGTTTGGTCACACGTAGATGGACCCTGGTCCTGCTGCTGCATCCCAGTACATGATGCTCCCCTGCGCTTAGTGGGTATCCCTGGGTGAGCAAGTGGGAGGATGGGGGGGGTCACTCTGCCCTCCTGGCTCCTGTGTCTCCTTCCTCTTCCTTCCCAATCCATGGCATCTCGCCCCATCTGGGACCTGTTGTGGGGAGCTCTGGTGTGTCCTGGTCCCAGATCCCATAGGGATGGGGTAGGGTGCTCATCCCTGGATCTGGAGAGGGTGCTGGGCTCTTCAGCATCCCCCAGGGGCCTGTGCACCAGAAGGTGCCTGAGATTCGGAGATTGGGGTTGGATTTTTGGCCTCCATGAGCCAGAACCTGCTGCTGAGGCCTCATCACACAGAGGTTAATTACTCATTAGATGAAGTGTCACCAGCAGATGGGGACCCGGCAGTGGGGTCTGGGGGAGCACAGTGAAGATGGGGTGCTATTATTTGGGGTACCAGTGTCCCCTTGCCCCATAGCAGCCCCACATGGCGCCAGAGCATTTGGGGACTGCTGGTGCCCTGGGAAACTCCCCCCTCTCCTCATCTTCTACAAGTAGATAATTACCCTTCTCTGCCTAATTGAGCACACAGATTCCTCATCTGGAATAATGAGGCCATTACGGTGCTCTCCCGGCTGGAAACACTCTGAGGCGATGGGGTGGGAATGTTGGTGTGCCAGGTGGGGAGAAAGGGGGAAAAATGCCAGTGAAACCCTCAGATGGCTCTCGGCAGGGGCTGGTCCTGCTCCTGCACCCGTCCCACTGGGGCAAGTGGGATATTGGTGGTGCTGAGGGCTGGGTTCTGGGGTCGTTTAGGACTGGATGAGCACAGGATGCATCCCAGAGGATGCCGAAGCTAATTCATGGCTGAAGCAGGGCCACCTGGGGAGGAAAACCCATGTGGGCCTCTTGATACCGCCTGGAGCTGGCTCTGTGCATCCTCGTGGATTCAGCCTGGAGAGGAGCCTCTGTGCATGGGATCCAGCGAGTCCCAAACCCGCGCTGAGCCGGGGCTGTGGTGGTTGGATGCTCTTTGTTCGGCTCAGCCTGCAGAGCCTCGTCCTTCCCATCCCTCCCTGGGGAATCGGCCTTGGGGCTCTCGCAAGCCGGGAGGAGGTTTGGGATGAGCACAGCAGCGTCCGGGATAGCGCGGCCCCTCTGGGCAGCGGCTCTGAGGATCGGGTTTTAACTGGGAGGCTGAAGCGCTGCGGCCGCCGCGGGCTCCATCCCTTTTGTCAGGGATGCAGGCAGCAGGGGGGGAGAGGATGAGAAAGAGCCCTTTGAAGAGGAAGGGCAGCGGGGTTTGTGAGGAGCTGGTGCTGCTTCCTTGCTCTTGGCATCGCCCATTCTCCTATCCCTGCTTGTTAAGGCAGCGTTCCCTGGATGGACACCCCCTCGGTGCCGGGGAAGGGAGGGTTTGGAGCTGAAAGCTGCCCAAAAGGAGGGTTTGGGGCCAGGGGAAGGGGCTGGTTTGGTGTCACCAGGACCCTTCCTCCATCTGTGCTCTTTGTCACTGCGCTGGCCCTGCCAAGCACGAGCAGATGGGAAGCAGTTGGATGAATGGATGGATGGAGGAATGGATGGATGGAGGAATGGATGGATGGAGGAATGGATGGATGGAGGAATGGATGGATGGAGGAATGGATGGAGGAATGGATGGATGGAGGAATGGATGGATGGATGGATGGATGGATGGATGGATGGATGGAGGAATGAGCCCCATCTTTCGGCTGGGGGGGGGGGGCTGGGGGTGTCTTGGGGCTCTTTGGCAGGTGATGGGGGAGAAGTATGAGAAAAATTTGGCACACGCCTGTCGTGGGTGGTTCAAAGGCACCGATTTGGCTCCTAAGAGGCACAAGAGGCTTTGAACCTCCCCCAGACCTGGTCCCTTGGCAGTTGTGGGGGGTCCCCAAAAAGTCCTTTGAAGCTGGGGGAGATGTGGGGGGCTCCAGGGCTTGGTAAAGTGAACTGAAATCAAGTGGGTTGTGTGGGGTGGTTTATCCTGAGCTGCCCTCCTGCTGCTGCTGTGAGCACCCCAGGGTGGGATGGGGCAGGGTGCCTGCTCCTGGTCCCTTCTCTGCTCTGCCCATAGCTACCTGGAGTGGCAGTGTGGGGACCCCAGCTGTGCTCAGTGCTGGAGCCCATCCTCCTGCACACAGGGTGTGGGGGGAGCTCAGATCTCCCCTCGTAACCAGGGAAAGGGATTTGGGTCCTGCCCAAAACATCCGAGGTTGGGGTGGCCGAGGGTGGGGGCAGATCCCTGGGGATTCATCCTGAGCATGAAGGGCAGGAGCAGGGATGCAGCTTTCCCAGGGATGCTTCACCCTTTGCTTTGTCCTGCTGGGAGCTGCATGGTCCCTCCCCAGGGGAAGGATGATGCTGTGGGTGCGATTGCTGCTCCGGTCCCTGCAGAAGCCTCTGGAATTGGGGATGCTTTTGGCACGTGTGCCCATGTGGGACATGTCCACGGGTCCCGCTGGGCCTTGGTGACAGCAGGAAGGGAGAGCAGAGCTCTGTCCCTTCATCGCTTCTCAGCCACAGAGGCTCTTCAAGTCCTGGCAGCTTAAAGCCTTTTAAGAACATGAAAAGACATAAAACAAGCGATAAAACACATCTGCTGTCCCCTTTCATGTGGGCCTTTGCTGTCAGTTAATTCTGTGCTGTTTTCCTCCTCCTGGGGCTGCGTTTGAAGCCTCCTTTAACTGTGGAGCTGTCGATGCTCTGCAGCGAGCCAGGGTCACTGTCGCCTCCTCTGTGCCTAGGAAGAAGGCAGATCCATATGGAAAAGGGGCCTTTGGAAGGCCCGGCTGGCCAAGCGCTGTGGTGACGGGTCCTCTGGCTGCACCATGTTCCTCTGGCCTGGCTGTGCTGTGATGGGGTTGAGGTGGTATCAAAGGACCCATCACCCACTCATCCGGCACGGATCCCGAGGGATCTGATGTGGTGCGGTATTTGCTCGCTGCTGGTGTCCAAAGGGATGTGAGCGCATCCCGAGCCAGTGCCAGCTGCGTGGCTGCAGTCACAGCCCCATCCTGTGCTGCTGGCTCCGGCATCAAAGAGCAATTGAGGGAGCGTGGTGGTGATGGAGTGGTGAGAGCTGGGCTGGGGCAGCCTGGAGGAGAGAAGGCTCCTGAAGGGGAGACCTGAGAGCAGCTCCAGTGCCTAAAGGGGCTGCAGGGAACCTGGAGAGGGGCTTGGGACAAGGGCCTGTAGGGCCAGGCCAAGGGGAATGGCTTGAACCTGCCCGAGGGGAGACTGAGCTGAGCTCTTAGGCAGAAGCTCTTCCCTGTGAGGGTGCTGAGGCGCTGGCACAGGGTGCCCAGAGAAGCTGTGGCTGCCCCATCCCTGGCAGTGCTCAAGGCCAGGTTGGACACAGGGGCTTGGAGCAAGCTGCTCCAGTGGAAGGGGTCCCTGCCCTGGCAGGGGTTGGAGCTGGAGGAGCTTTGAGGTCTCTTCCAGCACAAACCACTCTGGGATTCCATGGTGAGTGTGTGGTCCCGCTGGAGCTGCTCCGGCTCCTTTGGTGCTGGTGGTGCCTGGAGGGCAGAGGGTGCTAAGTGAGGTGTGAGCTGGGGTCAGCCGGGAGGATCCGGTTGCTGTTGGTGCATAGGAAGGACCTGGGACCCTGAGCCCAGTGTCATGGACAGCATGGGGACACCAGGGCTGCCTCTCCTGGCTGTTTGTCAGCTCGAGCGCTCTCATGGCAGCTCCACTGTCAGCCCTGAGTGCTCCGGCATCGATTTCCATTGCTGCACCCGAGAGGGACATCCCGGGCAGGGTAAAGAGCTTGAAATGAATTGGTTTGGGGTAGACAGGAGTAAAATCCCTCACTCCTCCACCTGATGCATCCCCAGCATCCCTGTGATGGCAGCGAGCCCCATTCACCTCGGCCCCATCCGTGTCACTGCTGTCCCTGGGCCATGTCCCGGGGCTGCGGAGCGGGAGCATCCTGGGGTTCTCCTGGCGGGCAGCGCTGTTACTGCCCCAGAGCTGGATCAGGGCTGCAGGGGGGGGTTCTCCCATTCCCGCAGCAGAGGGGCAGGATCCCCTCCCGGAGCTGCTGCTCACGCTCTGGGGGTGCACCCAGCACACGGGGGGGGGGGTCTGGGCTCAAGCACTCACTGAAGCTGGGTCATGGGGAGCTGCTCCTCGGGCTTCATCCCATCTCCCCCAGCTGGGATGACCCCGATGCAGGAGCAGGACCTTGCCCTCGGCCTGGCTGGGCTCCGTGCTCCTGTGAGCTCCTCTCCCCCGTGCCAGGGCAGCTCAGGCTCTGGGTACGGGTGCTGAGAGCAGAGCAGTGAGCACGGGGGGAGCTGCAGGAGGACGCCAGGGGCAGCTCCAGCCGCGCTGGAGGCTTTGGGAAGCGTCCAGGAAGCTGCCGGAGAGCTCCCGGCTCCAAAAGGCAAGGGAAGAAAGGGGCAGTGTTCGGGGGAGAGCTGCAGGGAGCTGGGGCAGGAGCCTCTGTGAAAGGGGCTCTGTGCTCCCCAGGGCATGAGGGATGTGGCTGCCATAGGGGAAGGGGAAACCCTTCTCCCCTGGGCTCTGTGCTGTGTGATGGGGTCGGTCCTTGGTCTCTTGCACCCATCCCGAGCACTGCTCCTGGCCCTGGCTCGCTGTCTGGAGGCTGCTGTGACTCAGAGCTGGCTGGTTCCATGGCGTGTGCAGCTCCTGCCCCTGCTCCCGGCTCTGACAGCATCAGCATCGCTCCGTGCTCGCTGGGAAGAGCTCTTAATGCATCCCCATGCAGCATCCCCATGCAGCATCCCTCCGGGTGATGCCGTCCTGGCGCAAATGGGTCCCTCGCTCATCCTCCAGACCTTCCCCCATCCTCTCTCCCCCCGCTGCCTGCCTTTGTGTGGCCTTTGTGCTCCCTCTGAGAGGACAAGAGGCAGTTTTATCGCTGGATTGGTTGTTGCACGGTGCTGGCTGCGGGTCCTTGTGTGGCTGGGGGATGCTGGGGAGCAGCCACGCGGTGCTGGGGGGGATGCAAAGAGAGAACAAAGCCGGGGGAAGCCAAACCCCTTCCTCCTGGTGCTGCTTTCTCCTCTTCTCATGGCCCTTGACCTGCTCCTCTCGTGAGCTTCAAACCAAAGGGTCTCTACGCTTTGGAAGGGAGGAGCAAAGAGATGCTCAGTGGTACCCGGTGCCCTCTCCTCCCCTTCCCAAGGGCGTTCATTCCCAGTTCCCACACAGGCTCATCAGCACTTGGGCGTTTGGTTAGGGCTGCCCTTGGCCTTCCCATCCAGCGTTTAAATAGCAGGGAACAAGCTCAGTGCAGAGCCTGGAAGCCTTTTCCTGGGGCCTGGCTGGTGCTTTCGCTCCCTGTGGGATGCGGCACCTCTCGGAGCGAGGGCTTCCCTCCCCACCTGGAGAAGAGAGGGTTTCACTGAGGGCCCTCGGGCTTTGAGCCTGAGCTACTCAAACCCCATCAGAGCAGCGGTGCTGTTTAACTTGGACACAAACCCGGGCAGGGAGCACAAGCCTTGTTCTGCTCCCTTAGTGGCTGAGAGGAGCTGCTTGAGCGTCCTGCTGAGGATGGAGCTGGGGGGTGAAGATGGAAGGTGAGCAGGAGATCATGGCTTTGGGTCCTGGGACCCTCCAAGGATGGATGGTGCTGCAGGGAATGGTTTCTCTCCCTTTCCTCCACCTTGTATCAAATCTCTTATTTACCCAGTGCCAAACCCGGTGTGGTACCCAGAGGGGAGTGACTGTGTTCACCCCATCCCTGAGGATGCGGCCTGGGATGCTGCTGGCTCAGGTTTGCTCACCAGGACCTGGGCTTGGCAGCAGAATCCATGTTGGGGTTAGTTCATCCTGGGGGTGGGACTTGCAGTGTGGCTCCCCCAGATGGCATCACAAACGGATGCTGAGCTGGCACATCCCATGGGAGACAGGTTCATCTGCCCCAAGGCCAGGAGAGAGACCCTTTGTGGGTACTGCAGATCCAGCTGCTGCGTCCATCCCTTAGCAGGTCCCTTGGGATCATTCAGCTCCTCCTCACTGCTGTGATTAATCCACAGATGAGCATGGGGAGTGGGGAATCACACTGTTCCCAGTGCTCTGGGCCAGAGCAGCACCATCTGTGGCCTCGGTACAGGGAGGATCAGCTTCATTCCTGCTGCTGAACATCCCTAAGGGTGATGGGGGTCCTTGAGAGCAGAGGAGACGAGTACTGGATCCAGTCCCACTGCTCCCTGTAGTGCTCCACATCGTCCTCCATGGGATGCAGGGATGGAGATGGGCAGGGGAGGAGGGATGGGATGAAGATGGGTGAGGGGAGGAGGGAGTCAGGGAGCTGCCAGGGCTGAAGAATGGCTGAGAGCAGAAGAAGGGGCCTTAGAGCTGGGTTTCCTGTCCTCGGGAGGGGAGGGGATGGGATTTGTGCTGCTATCTCCAAGGAGACGGCGCCTGTGCTGCCGCTGGAATACTAATGGCACCGGAGCGTGTCATGGGGCACCGCGAGCCCCTCCTCGCTGGGCTGGGGGGTCTGAAGGCACCCAACAGCTCCCACGGCAGCAGCCACCGGGGCTGTTCCATTCGGTGGCGGTTGGAGCCCCCCCGGACTTGCCTGTGGGTGGAAAGGGGCTGTGGAGGGATGGGGGGCAGCTGGCCATAGCCTTGGGAGGGTTTTGGTGATGCCCATGGCCAGGGGACAGCGCTGCACCACTGCTTGTTGTGTCTGGGGCTCCCCTCTATTGTGATAAGGGGGTGGCTGGGTCTTGGGGGGACCCATGGGTGTTTGCGGTGGTGGCTCTTGGACACTGAACTCAGCATCACATTCATCATCCCTTGGTGCTGGTTTGAAACTCTGAGCTGGGTGCCAGAGCTGCGAACCCCCTCCATGCCCCCAGGGTTGGGGTGCCTGTCTGAAGGGTTCAGAGGCACCCGCTCTGCAGACCGAAAGTGATGGGTTCTGGAGGGGGGGATCTGTAGGCTGGGAATAAGGCAGCACACGGTAACAGAGGTGATGCGATGGGGCTGTTAATGAGTTCTTCACGATGGTGTTGGGGTGGGAAGATGGGCTTGGGGGCAATATATCGGGGGGGGGGGGTACTGGGAGCCGGTGTCTTCAGGGCAGTGTGGGATGCTCCAGGAGGATGCATCCCTGAGGATGGAGGAGGGGGCGATCCCACAGGAGCTCATCCGGCCGTGGCTTGCGTGAAGGCCGAGAGCTGGGCAGGGGGGGTGCCGTTAAACCCGGTGCCGCTGAGCCCCGCAGGCTGCTTGGTGCAGATGGGGGCCAGGTTCCCCCCCTCGCGGCGGTGGCAGCGCCTGCCCTTCCCTTGGGGGGGTGCCCCGGGGGGAGCCCTCGGAGCCGCTCTCGGGGGGTGCCCCGGGGGGAGCCCTCGGAGCCGCTCTCGGTGGGAGCCCCGGGGGGAGCCCTCGGAGCCGCTCTCGGGGGTGCCCCGGGGGAGCCCTCGGAGCCGCTCTCGGGGGGGTGCCCCCGGGGGGAGCCCTCGGAGCCGCTCTCGAGGGGTGCCCCGGGGGGAGCCTTCGGAGCCGCTCTCGGGGGGGTGCCCCCGGGGGGAGCCCTCGGAGCCGCTCTCGGTGGGAGCCCCGGGGGGAGCCCTCGGAGCCGCTCTCGGTGGGAGCCCCGGTGGGAGCCCTCGGAGCCGCTCTCGGGGGGAGCCCCGGGGGGAGCCCTCGGAGCCGCTCTCGGGGGGGTGCCCCGGGGGGAGCCCTCGGAGCCGCTCTCACCCCGTCCCGTCCCGTTCCCCGCAGATGGCGAGAGGCCGCCGGAGGTGACGGACCCGGCCCGGGGGCCGCCGGCAGCGGCGCGGCGCGGGACCGCCGAGGACTCCAGCGAGAGCCGCGAGGAGGAGCCGGCGGTAACGGGGGGAGCCGGGGCGGGAGGGCCCCGGGGGTCGCTGCAGGGCCGGGGCGGGCGCAGCCTCCGCACGCGTTGGAGCATCCCCGAGGCGCCGCTGGAGCTCCCAGTGCGGTGCCCCGCGCATCCCGCCCTGTCAATGTGCTCCTGCGGGAGGAGTCCGCAGCAGCTTCCGGCACTTCCCTCCTGTGTGAGCTGTGCCAGAAGCAGAACCAGCTTCAGGCTGGGTGAGAGACAGGGGAAGAGGCTGCTTGTGCCTGGCTGGGGAGCAGGGTGATGGGTGAGGAAGGAGAACCCTGCTCTGATCAATCCCAGCTCCTCATAAATTAGGGAAGAGGCAGACAAAGGAGGACATTGATGTGCCTGGAGAAGGCACGAGCTGGTGCTGGGTGAGGAGTGCGGCAGCAGGAATCACCCCTCAGCTCTCCCGGGAGGAGGGTGAAGCCTTCCATTGAGCACGGCACAATTCCGCTGCTTCCCAAGGGCAGCGCTCTCCCCTCGGGATGCCAATGGCTCATTGGGCTCTTTGCTAGTGATGTCTTTGGCACTAAGTGCAGCCCAAGGGCAGTGCTTTGCGGGTGCCACAGTTCCTGCCTGGGTTTCGCTGTCTGGGTGGTGGAACGGTCCCTCTTCGCCCAGCTGAGGCCATGGGGATGATGATGATGGTGAATCCTGAGAGAGATGCCAGGGATCTCCCTGTCCCCCCTGGTCCATCCCCAGAGAGGGCAATGCTGAGCGCTGGTGTCACCATGGGCTGTGCCACCGGCCAGGTCCCGAGGAAAGGAGGATGCTCTGGGTGGGCTCTTCCTTGCCACCCATCACCCTTTCAGCAAGCTGGGGGCAGGTGAATGCTCACCTGATGCCTTTAAATTAGGAGACCCAAGGGACTGGATGTTTAACTCCCTTTAATCATCCCACTTCCTCCGCCTGTGGGTGAGCATAGGGACTGCTTCTGCCCCTTTGGAGATGGAGCCCAAACCACTCCTTCCCAGTAGCTCCTCAGCCCAGCTGAACAGAAGACTCCCTGTTCTGGAGCAGTCTCTCAGCACAGAAAGGGAAAGGAGTTTAGCTGGAACATTCTGACCCTGCTCCCCAGGACACTGCGCTGTTTCCTGCCTCCTCCTGCCCCTGCTTTCCTTTGCCTTTAACCTTAGCTCCCCCCTTGGTTTGGCAGCGCTCGCATCCCCAATGAGATGTGTGCTGTAGGGAGATGTCCTGCAGCCACTGCGGGGCTGCTCCTCATCCCCCATCTCTCCCCTCTCCCTCCTGTTCCTGGGCAGAGCAATGGGCAGGACTTGGAGGAATGGTTTTCCAGAGGCTCCCGGTCCAACCGAGGCACCGCGCGCCCCAAGCTCAACCTGACCAAGCAGCCTTTGCCCTGGAATGAGCAGGTAGGTGGGCAGGGAGCAGCAAAGGGGAGGTGAAGGAGGAGGAGAAGGTCCTCCTGGCCCCTTGTTGGGCAGCCCCTGTCCCCCCAGCACGCCAGGCTCCAGAGCCACCTCCATCCATCCTCCTCCTAGCTCTCCATCACCTATCCTGGGGGCTCTGCATGATCCTGGGGTCATGGTACCCATGAGGGCACCTCCTCGGGTGTGTGCCCCTCATCCTCTGTGTGGCTCTATAAGGGGACACCCTGCTGCAGTCTTCTCTGGATGGGTCCACGCAGAGCCTGGCCCCTGGTGCTGGCTGTGCCAATGGGATGGGTGCTGGGGATGGGTGAAGGATGGGGCTGGGCTTCTGGTGTCCACACAGCATCCCTTGTCCAAGTGCACTTGGGACCCAGGAGGAGGTTACCTGCTGGGGGCTGTGCTGTGACCCTGGGGCTGGCACAGGGATGGGAGCTCCGTGTCACTGCAGGGGAGCTGAGGCCGGGCCGGTGACACCCCTGGGGCTCAGCCTCCTGCCCTGACGCTGTCCTTGGAGGGGAGGGGATGCGAGGAGGACTCCGCTGGTCTCCCTCTCGTCCTGCAGTACAAGGGGAAGGCAAACCTGCACGTCTTCGAAGACTGGTGTGGAGGCGCCGTGAGGCACCTGAGGAAGAACCTCCATTTCCCACTCTTTCCCCACGTGAGTCCCTGCTGTGACGGTGCTGGCTCAGAGGAAGGGTCCTCTCGTCCCCTCTGGGTGCTGCTGGACCTGCACTGGCGCTGGGCTTGCTCCTCAAGACCTTTGCTTGCTGGCGGTTGGGTTGGGTTTGGGGCAGGTAGTTCCCAGCAGAGCAGGGATGGAGAGAGATGGGTGGTGATGGGACCTCCGTGTCCCCTCTGGTGCCAGGGGCATGGGACCCTGGGGGGTCAAGGAGGAGATGGGCTGGGTGATGCTGGTGCAAAGCATGAGGCTGGGCCTGAGCTGCTCGTGCTCTCATGTCCCTGTCTCCTCTGCAGACCCGCACCACAGTGAAGAAGCTGGCGGTGTCACCCAAGTGGAAGAACTACGGGCTGAGGATTTTTGGCTACATCCACCCCTTCAAGGATGGTGAGTGATGGAGCTTGGCCTCGGCTCCCCTGCAGCAACGTGGAGAAGCTGCCTCCTTCCCTCTTCTTGGGCCACACGGGGACAGGAGGGCTCTTGGAGACAGCCCCAAGCTCTGGCTCTCAGGCAGGAGGGTCCTGAACCTTTTTCCTTTGTGGCTTCAGAGGCAGGTGAAGCCCTGATCTCATCCACAACAGAGCCAAGATGTGGGGTCTGGGTGGCCCCATGACATCCTTCCATTCATCATCCATCCATCATCCATCCATCCATTTATCATCCATCCATCCATCCATCCATCATCCATCCATTCATCATCCATCCATCCATCCATCCATCCATTTATCATCCATCCATCCATCCATCCATCCATCCATCCATCATCCATCCATCCATCCATCCATCCATCATCCATCCATCCATCCATCCATCCATCCATCATCCATCCATCCATCATCCATCCATCCATCATCCATCCATTCATCCATCCATCCATCCATCCATCCATCCATCCATTTATCATCCATCCATCCATCCATCCATCCATCATCCATCCATCCATCCATCCATCCATCCATCCATCCATTTATCATCCATCCATCCATCCATCCATCCATCCATCATCCATCCATCCATCCATCCATCCATCATCCATCCATCCATCCATCCATCATCCATCCATCCATCATCCATCCATCCATCATCCATCCATCCATCCATCCATCCATCATCCATCCATCCATCATCCATCCATCCATCCATCATCCATCCATCCATCCATCCATCCATCCATCCATCCATCCATCATCCATCCATCCATCTATCCATCCATCCATCATCCATCCATCCATCCATCCATCCATCCATCCATCCATCATCCATCCATCCATCCATCCATCCATCCATCATCCATCCATCCATCATCCATCCATCCCTGCATCCCTGCATCCCTGCATCCCTGCTTCCCCATCTCACAGCGATGCACGGGGGCTGAGCCCATGCCCCTGGGCTGCTGTATCTCCCTGTGCTGACCTTTCCCTTCTCTCTCCATAGCGGACTTCCAGTTCTCCGTGGCATCTGACGACAACTCGGAGCTGTGGCTCAGCTCCGATGACAGCCCGGCCAACTCCCGGCTGGTGGCGTTCGTGGGCAGGGTACGTGTGTCCCGCTGCACCCTCTGCCATTCCCCATGCTGGGGATGCTCCCGCTCCCACCGAGAGCATCTCCTCCCTCAGGGCCTTGCTTCCAGCACACTGAAACCACCCCGGGGCCCTCCCGGGCATCCCTAGTGCTCAGTTAAGGGTGTTTCAAACCCATGGCTGCTCTTCAGCCACCGCAGGTTCTCCCCCTGCAGGTCCCTGTGCTGCTGCTGCAGCTCCTGCAGGGAGAGGATGGGGTCTGTGTGGGCTTGGCCAGAGCAGCTCCTGCTGCTTTATCCCCTTAGGAACTGCTGGGCTTCTTCAGCCTGGTCCCATCTCTGAAGGACCATCAGCCCCTTGGTCCCATCCCGGGTGTAGCTACCAAAGCCCAGCTTATGCCCCAGAATAGGAGGTCTGAGCTTTGCTGCTGGGTTTTCTTGGTGCTGTCTCCTATAACTGAACCCCCCATGGTCTGTCATGAGCTTTTTGGGATCCTGTTGGCTGGTGACAAGCTTTTGTGACACGAATGCCACCAGCCTGGGACAGGGAGGCCCTGGGGCAGAGCTCCTGAGGTATCCCCTGGCCTGCAGAGCAGCACAGGGTGGTGCCCGATGGAGATGGAGGAGAGATCCCATGAGAGCCTGGGCTCTGTGCCCTCGGTCCATGGTGTCCTGGAGGTGCCTCACGTGCTCCTGCTTCCCTCCCCAGCTGGGCACCGAGTGGACGGCGCCAGGGGAGTTCACCAAGTTCAGCTCCCAAGTGTCCAAGCCTCTGCGGTGAGTGCATCCTTGCTCCTGCTGCCCATCCCAGCGGGATGGAGCTGGGCTCCAGGGGTTAGACCCTGCCCGTGGTCCCTTCCCAACAGACAGGAGGGGTCAGGGCTGGAGCTGAACCCACCGTGCCCCCAGCTCCATGGCTTGAAGGCTCTGCAGGCGATGAGGTGGGGATGGGGATCCCCGGTCTCCTGTGGGATGGGGGAGCAGTGCCCACCCCACGCTGCCGGCTCCTTGCCCCAGCAAGGTTCAGCCTTAGTGTGAGCAGGACAGGGAGGGCTCCCCTGTAAAGGTTTCCTCCCTGCCAAGCCCCATGGGTGCTCCCATGGCCTCGCTGTCACTCAGTGGTTTCCAAGCAGCTTCTCCCCTCCGCAGCCTCATGTCCTCCAGGCGCTACTACTTCGAGCTGCTGCACAAACAGGACGACCGAGGGTCAGACCACGTGGAAGTTGGGGTGAGTAAATGCTCCCCCCTCGTGCTCCTCCCAGGGCCTGTCCCATCGGGAGCCAGCGCCAGGGCTCTTCCCATGCGCACTGGAACGCTTTGTGCTGATCCCGGGCTCAGCTCCCATCTCCCTGGGCTGTTCCTGCTCAGGGTGCCTGGCACAGGAGGCTCCTCTGTGCTCACCCAATCCCTTAATTCCAATGGCCTTTTGGGGCGAAAGACCCCGCTGTCCCTCCCCGTGCTCCTGTAATGGGTGCCAATGGAGCAGCCCCTCAGCTCCAGGCTCCAGCACCGTCCCTTCTCCTCTCCCCCTGGCCTCCTGCACAAGGGCTGGCAGAGGTGGACGGTCCCTCTCAGAGGAGCCCATTGCCCCAGGCTGTGCTGGATGAGGGCAGGCAGGTCCCAGGTCACTGTGGGCACACAGCAGCCCTCTTGCTGCCTGCCCCCGGGTCAGAGGGCAGAGCTGATGGAGCTGGGTCCCTCGCTCCTTCCCCCCTTGCAGACACCCCGAGTTTCAAATCCGGGCTTGCCTGCAGAGCCCTGGCCCAGCCCAGAGCCTGCGTCAGGAGCTGCCTTGGGGAGGGGAAGCCGTTGGCTCCTTGCAAAGGTTTCCTTGCTCCCAAGCATCATCAATCATTGGAGGCAGACCGGTGCCAGCAACGCACCCGGGAGGCTGAGGACGCCCCTTCCTGCCTGCTCTGCTGCTCAGCTCCAGCCTGGCCCTTGCTGGGCTCCAGCCCCCCATTGACAGGATCCAAGTTGCTGCTGTGCAAACAAACGGGGGGGAAGCCTCAGGTGTTCAGGAAAAGCAGAGCAGGAGCAGAGCAGGAGCAGGGCAGGAGCAGGGCAGGAACAGAGCAGGAGCAGGAGCAGAGCAGGGGCAGGAGCAGGGCAGGAGCAGGGGCAGGAGCAGGAGCAGGAACAGAGCAGGAGCAGGGCAGGAGCAGGAGCAGGAACAGAGCAGGAGCAGGGCAGGAGCAGGAGCAGGAGCAGAGCAGGAGCAGGGCAGGAGCAGGGGCAGGAGCAGGGCAGGAGCAGGGGCAGGAGCAGGGCAGGAGCAGGGCAGGAGCAGGGCAGGAGCAGGGCAGGAACAGAGCAGGAGCAGGGCAGGAGCAGGGGCAGGGCAGGAGCAGGGCAGGAGCAGGGCAGGAGCAGAGCAGGAGCAGGGCAGGAGCAGGGCAGGAGCAGAGCAGGAGCAGGGCAGGAGCAGGGCAGGAGCAGGGCAGGAGCAGAGCAGGAGCAGAGCAGAGCAGGAGCAGGGCAGGAGAGAGCAGGAGCAGGGCAGGAGCAGGGCAGGAGAGAGCAGGAACAGAGCAGGAGCAGAGCAGGACCCTGTGGCTCCTGCAGGATTTCAGGGCTTGTCCAGGCAAAGGCTCCTGAAGTGCTTTCAAGATGCACGTAATGGGCTGAGTGCGGGCGGCTGCAGGGACCCTCTGGACCTGGTGCATACTTGGTGTGTGTGTGGGTGCAGCCCTGCGGGGTGGAGGAGGCTGCTGGGGGCTTTGGGTGCCTTTGGCTCTGGCTGTGTCCCTCATGGGTGCTGTGGCCCTCATGGGTGCTGTGGCCTCCCTGCTCCATGCCTGCCATCATCCCCCCCTGCAAGGCAGGACCCGTGGCTGCGCTGCCTCCCGTGAGGTTCCTGATGCCGCCTCTGACCGGTGGGATCAGTGCAGGCACGTTCCTGGGAGCAGAGGAGAGGGCAGCACCCATGATAGGGTCACCCTGACCCCTGGCACCCTCCTGCTTATCCCCATACCCTCCTCTTCTCTCCCAGTGGCGAGTTTTCCTCCCCAGCTTGAAGTTCGAAGTCATCGACTCCTCCTCCATCTCCCTGTACACAGGTAAGAGCCAGCGGGTCCGTCCGCAGCCACGGCAGCAGCATCTCATGGGGCTCTGTGTGCTGGTGCAGGGGGGAGACAGAACCAGAGCCGGGTGGGGGGGGGGAACCAGGTCCTGGGAAATCAGATCCTAGAATCCCAGAGTGGTTTGGGATGGAAGGGACCTTAAAGCTCCTGCAGCTCCAACCCCTGCCAGGGCAGGGACCCCTTCCACTGGAGCAGCTTGCTCCAAGCCCCTGTGTCCAACCTGGCCTTGAGCACTGCCAGGGATGGGGCAGCCACAGCTTCTCTGGGCACCCTGTGCCAGCGCCTCAGCACCCTCACAGGGAAGAGCTTCTGCCTAAGAGCTCAGCTCAGTCTCCCCTCGGGCAGGTTCAAGCCATTCCCCTTGCCCTGTCCCTACATCCCTTGTCCCCAGCCCCTCTCCAGGTTCCCTGCAGCCCCATTGGGAGCAAGCGGTTGCAGTGGGTAGGGATGATGCTAGGAGCATGCTGTGACCCTCCTAAGAATGGGCACGCCACAGAAACGCAGCTCTCCTGGTGCTCCCTCCCCATCCCTGCTGTGAGAGCACAGGGAGCTGGCTCCGTGGCCTGGCCCTGAGTTATAAGGAGCTGTCGTGAGCGCAGGGATGGATGGTGCAAGGTTTAATTAAGTCTATAGATCTTCCTCTTCCTGCCCCTTCCCTGGCAGTGAGGAGGGATGTGATGGATGGGTCCTGCCCCAGTGCTCAGTGCGCTGGAGCCTGGTCATCAACCACGGCCTGGAAGGTGTCGATAAGGCAGGAGGGACAGGCAGCAGGCAGGGATCAATGAGGAGAAGAGGGATGGAGGGGTATCGCTGGTGCTGATGCAGGTGCCCATGAGATGGACGATGTGTGGATAAATCCCCCCACAACCACTATCCATTAGTGCTGCCTCTCTATGCTTCTCTTTCCTGCTTCCCAGCTCCCTTGGAATCCAGCAGCATCCCAGGGTGAAGCCACATCCCTTGAAGGGCGCCCATCACCATGGCACCCCGAGCATCCCCCTCCCTTCCCTTTCCCCAGGCTTTCCCAGGGCTTGCAGCCCAACCTCAGCCCCCAACAGACACCGCAGGCAGGATGTGGGGCTGGGGAAGGGGGATGCTGCTGCCTGGGGAGCTGCCTCCTCCCCTCCAGCTCTGCAGCAGGGGGGCTGGTCTGGGGCAGCCCTGGGTGCTGGGGGCAGGCAGCTCTGAGCGTGGGGCAGAGACCCCTGCGGGAGGTGCTGGGGCTGGTTGGTGATGGTGAGGACACCTCAGCCCCCAGCAGAGGCACAACCAGCTCCTATTGCAGTCACCTGCACTGGGGCTTGGGTTCCTTGGGGTTAGAGCTCCCCTTGTCCCTGAGCCTGGTGAGTGATGCCCTCATCAGAGCCGGGCTGACATCAGCGGTACCCTTGTCCTCTGGTGCTCATCATCTGATGGCAACCATCACTGGGCTGGTCAGTGACAGGGTCTGTGAGCATGGGAGAGCCTGAGGAGCTGGGTTTGCCCTCCTGCAGCATCGGCTCTTGTTCCCCTGGGAGCGGGAGAATCCAGGCATAGAACCCCTGGTTTGGGTTGAAGGGGCCTTAAAGCTCCTCCAGCTCCAACCCCTGCCAGGGCAGGGACCCCTTCCACTGGAGCAGCTTGCTCCAAGCCCCTGTGTCCAACCTGGCCTTGAGCACTGCCAGGGATGGGGCAGCCACAGCTTCTCTGGGCACCCTGTGCCAGCGCCTCAGCACCCTCACAGGGAAGAGCTTCTGCCTTATCTCCAACCTGAACCTCCCCTGTTTCAGTCTGAACCCATCACCCAGCCCCTGATGAAGGGTCCCTCCCCAGCATCCCTGTAGCCCCCTTCAGACACTGGAAGCTGCTCTGAGGTCTCCATGCCCTTCTCTTCTCCAGGCTGCACAGCCCCAATGTTCTCAGCCTGGCTCCATACAGGAGCTGCTCCAGCCCCTGAGCATCCTCGTGGCCTCCTCTGGGCTTGCTCCAGTCCTGTTGGCGGGGAGGGATGGAGAGGTTGGGAAGTGCTGCTTTGGAGGATGCTCCTGGGGCAAAGCTCTCTTTGTGCCTGTGGGGCTCAGGCCCTGTCCTTGTTTGTGCCTGTGGGGCTCAGGCCCTGTCCTTGTTTGTGCCTGTGGGGCTCAGGCCCTGTCCCTGTTTGTGCCTGTGGGGCTCAGGCCCTGTCCCTGTTTGTGCCTGTGGGGCTCAGCCCCTGTCCCTGTTTGTGCCTGTGGGGCTCAGGCCCTGTCCCTGTTTGTGCCTGTGGGGCTCAGGCCCTGTCCCTGTTTGTGCCTGTGGGGCTCAGGCCCTGTCCTTGTTTGTGCCTGTGGGGCTCAGCCCCTGTCCTTGTTTGTGCCTGTGGGGCTCAGCCCCTGTCCTTGTTTGTGCCTGTGGGGCTCAGGCCATGTCCTTGTTTGTGCCTGTGGGGCTCAGGCCCTGTCCTTGTTTGTGCCTGTGGGGCTCAGCCCCTGTCCTTGTTTGTGCCTGTGGGGCTCAGCCCCTGTCCTTGTTTGTGCCTGTGGGGCTCAGCCCCTGTCCTTGTTTGTGCCTGTGGGGCTCAGCCCCTGTCCTTGCCTTCTGCAGATGAATCCTCCCTGAAGATGAACCACGTGGAGCACATCCCGCAGACCTTGGCCAGCCACAGCGGGAGCTACCTCTGGGAGGCTCAGCAGGACGAGCACGGGGCTGACATGCTCAGATCTGACCCCAGGGACACCTTCTTCCTCAGTAAGTGCCGGGATGGGATCCTTGGGGGTCTCTGGGGGAGGCAAAGACAGGAGCTGGCTGCTGCCGGCACAGAGCATCCCTCCTCCCCTGCTGCCCATCTCGAGGCTGGAGAGCATCTCTGCTGGGGCCGGGCTGGGCTGGGCTGCGGTGTGGTTCTGGGCCCCTCAGTTCAAGAAGGACAGGGACCTGCTGGAGAGTCCAGCGCAGGGCAACTGAGATGATGAAGGGAGTGGAGCATCTCCCTTATGAGGAAAGACTGAGGGAGCTGGGTCTCTATAGTTTGGAGAAGAGGAGACTGAGGGGTGACCTTATTAGTGTATATAAATATATAAAGGGGGAGTGTCCCGAGGATGGAGCCAGGCTCTTCTCAGTGGCAAACAATGATAGGACAAGGGGCAATGGGTACAAACTGGAACACAAGAGGTTCCACTTAAACTTCTTCTCAGTGAGGTGACAGAACACTGGACCAGGCTGCCCAGGGAGGTTGTGGAGTCTCCTTCTCTGGAGCCATTCAAAACCCGCCTGGACACGTTCCTGTGTAACCTTATCTGGGTGTTCCTGCTCTGCAGGGGGATTGGACTGGATGAGCTTCTGAGGTCCCTTCCAATCTCTAACATACTGGGATACTGGGATACAGGGGTGGCAGGGGACGGCCTGGGGCTGAGCTGCTGCTGCTTGTCCCCAGCCCCTGCCATCGAGGCCTCCCGCGTGGAGAACGTGCTGGTGCCCTGTGCCTACAGCCCCACCTACGTGGTGAAGGACTTCCCCATCGCCCGCTACCAGGGCCTGCAGTTTGTGAGTGCCTCCCCATGGTGGGATGGGGCCACGCTCCCATGGGGGTCACAGCGAAGCCCCCAGCCCGGGCCAGGCTCTGCTCACCCATTCAAACCCAGGGGAACGCGGCCCTCGCTGGGGGATCCAGCTCTGCTGGAGCTGGAAGGGCTGAGCCCAAAGCCCCATGGGGTGCTTGAGGTGCTGGGGTCACCTCGCTGCTGGGGGCCTCAGGTCCTGCCCCAGCCCCATGCCCTGGGACTGAGCCATGACATTGCCGTGCTCCCGTCCCCAGGTCTACCTCTCGTTCGTGTACCCCAACGACTTCACGCGCCTCACCCACATGGAGACGGAGAACAAGTGCTTCTACAGGGAGTCCCCCCTCTACCTGGAGAAGTGAGTGCTGGGGCTGCTCCATGGGGCTGCTCCGTGGGGCTGGGTGGAGGAGCAGCGCTGAGATGAGGCCCCCTCGGCCCTGTGTCCCCAGACTCCGTCCCCCATGGAAGGGCCACCTCCAGGCCGGCTCCTTTCCCACCTCTTGGGCACATCAGACCCCGAGACCCGGCCGTGCTCCTGGGGGTGATGGGTTCAAACTGCAGCAGGGGCAGCTCAGGTTGGGTGTAGGCAGAAGCTCTTCCCTGTGAGGGTGCTGAGGCGCTGGCACAGGGTGCCCAGAGAAGCTGTGGCTGCCCCATCCCTGGCAGTGCTCAAGGATACAGGGGCTTGGAGCAAGCTGCTCCAGTGGCAGGGGTTGGGGTTGGAGCTGGATGGGCTTTAAGGTCCCTTCAACCCCAACCATTCCATGATCTATGATGTTGGGGATCCCAGCTCCCTTTGGAGCCGGGCTATGTCCCAGTGCCCTATCCGCAGCCAGGGCTGTTCCCCATGGAGCAGCTCACTTGTGTCCCTTCCCATTCGCTCCTCCCTGATCTCCGGGACCTCATCCTCCTGTGCCTCCAGGTTTGGCTTTTACAAGTACATGAAGATGGATGAAGAGGAGGAGGATCCACGCCAGCACCCGTTCCTCTTCCTCAACGCAGACAGTGAGTCACTGCTCCCCGCTGATGGGGCTGAGCAGCGCATCCTGCCCAGCATCCCATCCACTTGGAGATGCAGCTGCTTGGGATGCCTCCAGCGATGCCTGGCCTCCGGGAGGGCAGGGCTGCTTGGAGCAGCTTGTTCCATGTGCTCCGTGCTCATACATCCCACTTGGCTCAGCCACGAGTGCTGTGGGATATGGGAAGTGGGATGCTAGGGCTGGGATTTGCCCTTGCTGCTTCCTGAATCCATGTATCTGCTTGTGGCATGGAAAGCAGGGAGGGCTCCACACGGCTGCAGCTGGGTGCAGTGTGGGGATGCTCATGCAGGAGCCAGGCTCTTCAAGCCGGCCCTGCTGCCCTGGGTCTGCTCTGGGATGGGATGGGAGCAGTGCCAAGGTGCAGCCAAGGTTTGGAGGGGTCAATGGGCAGAGCCTGGAGCTGCCAGCCCTGGCGAGCATCCCTCAGTGCCCCTCAGCCCGCAGGTTCATCTCTTGCTGGGACAGGCTTTGCCTCCTTGCCTCTGGCCAGCACCAGCGGGCGCAGTGCTGAGCATCGGGACCCTCGGGTGTTCATCTCTGCCTTTGCTCCCCAGATTTCCTCGAGGATGAGGAGGAGGAGGAGGAAGGAGCCGACAGCCCCGAGCCCACAGACCCCGCTCCCGGAGCCAAGGAGAGGAGCTTCCTGCGGGTACCCGGAGCCAAAGGGCAGGAGACGCCGCCGGTCACCAGGGACTATGGACCCGAGCTGGACTATTACAGCTTCGGGCGCAGGCAGGGCCCGGCCCGGGATGAGGCCATGCCCGGAGCACCGGGGCAGGCGGGAAGGGGGAGCAGCTCCCACGAGCCCAGCGCCAGCCCCGTGCCCGGCCCCCGGGCGCTCCATGGGGAGGAGGACGAGGGCCCTGCGCCGGAGCAGGTCCATGGGAGGATGCTCCATTGGTTGCCCCAGGACCCCAGCGAGGGCGAGGAGGATGAGCTGGGGCTGCTGGCATCCTCCAAGCGTGCCGGGGCCATGAGCCTCCAAGCCCGCCGCGCTGGGCCCATCTTGGGTGGCAAAGCCAGGACGCCGGGTCCCAGCGGGGCTGCGGCACCCAGGGAGGACAGAAGGGCCCAGAAACCCCAGGAGAAGGTCTACGTGACCCGGCTGCAGCCGGGCAAGCGCAGAGCCCCGGCCCGGGAGCCGGCCTTCCCTGGCCTCTTCCTTTACCCAAAGCCTCTCAAGAAAGTCCATCTCCGCTCCAGGACCCCTCAGAAGCATCCCATTGCCTCCAGCAAGCTCCGTGCCGTGCCTGGGCACCGCAGCCCCTGGCTGCTGAGCAGCATCTCCAGGGAGAGGGGCGCTGCCAGGCAGAGGAACCCGCAGGCAGGAGCCCGGAGGTGGGAGCCGAGGCCGGGCACTGAGCGGCGGGCGCTGCCCGGGCTCCTGGCGCTGGGGACCCAGGGGCTCTTCAGCAGAGAGAGCCAGGAGGATGCAAGCCCTGCCCCGGGCCAGGCTATGGCCACCCCCGGGTACAACTCCTCTGGGGCGATGCTGGTGACGTCCTTCCTGAAGGGGTCAGGAACAACCGCGTCCCAGCAGCAGGAGGGGAAGGGGCAGGAGGAGGAGGAGGAGGAGGAGGAGGTGTCCGAGTACAGCTACGAGGCGGGGGAGCTGCAGCAGGGCTGGCTGGAGGACTCCATCAACTGGCAGCGGACGTTCAGCGTGAGTGCCGTGGACTTCGAGCTGCTGCGCTCCGACTGGAACGACCTCCGGTGCAACGTGTCGGGCAACCTGCAGCTGGGCGAGAGCGAGGTGGTGGACGTGGTGGCGCAGTACATGGAGAGGCTCAATGAGAAGAACGGAGGGTAGGGAGGGAGCAGGGTGCGGGGGGATGTTCACCCATGGAGGGGGGTTCAGGCCGGCCCTTGAGCAAGGGAGCTGTGGGGAGCAGAGCTCGTGATGGTGCTTTCATAGCATCATAGAATGGCTTGGGTTGGAAAGGACCTCAGCCTCCTCCAGCGCCAACCCCTGCCAGGGCAGGGACCCCTTCCACTGGAGCAGCTTGCTCCAAGCCCCTGTGTCCAACCTGGCCTTGAGCACTGCCAGGGATGGGGCAGCCACAGCTTCTCTGGGCACCCTGTGCCAGCGCCTCAGCACCCTCACAGGGAAGAGCTTCTGCCTTAGATCTAACCTGAACTTCCCGTTTCAGTTTGACCCCATCCCTGCTCCTCCTTCCCCGCAGCATCTACACCCTGCTGAGGATCATCAACGTGGAGAAGCGCCGGGACACGGCGCGGGGGAACCGGTACCTGCTGGAGCTGGAGCTGGCGGAGCGCGGGCAGCGCACGGTGCGCCTCTCCGAGTACGTCTACGTCCTCCTGCACCAGGACAAGCGGGACGCCAGCGCCGAGGCCAACCCTGAGGGGCTGGCACTGGGGGCCACCGAGCCCCCACCGAGCACCTGGAGCATCCTCTATGGAAAACCCGTCCTGTGCCGGCCCCTGCGGCTCAGCTGGAAGCAGGACGTGATGGTGCACTTTGTGGTACCCGGTAGGTGAGGGCAGGATGCGTCTCTTGGGTCTCTGCTGCTCCCCCTGCCCTCAGCATCCTCTAGGAGGGCAACCCCTCTGCTTCCCGGTTGCATCTCCAGGCTGGCCCAAAGAGGAGGTTATGGCTTCCAATGGGGTGCTGAGGTTATCGCTTCCCATCAGAAGGGGTGTTGGTTTGGTTGGGCAATGGGGTGCTCTTGGGACCCCCATGGTGTGCCTAAGGGCTGTTTGTGGCCATGTCTTGCAGTGAAGAACCAAGCCCGCTGGGTCCAGCAGTTCATCTCGGACATGGCCCATCTGTACGGGGCCACAAAGGACCCCAACTTCAACGTCATCCTGGTGGACTTTGACAGCGAGGACATGGACGTGGAGAAGGCGCTGCAGGACGCGCATCTGCCCCGGTACCCACCACGGGCCCCACGTCCCCCTGTGCTCCCCCAGGGTGCCAATGGGGGTTTGGAGGCTTCCTGTGGTGGGACATAGCTCACTCAACCTGCTTCTCCTCCCCGCCCCAGCACGGGGCTGTCCCCTGCCCCCTTCCTCCTCTTCTTGGGGGGTTAAATTTGCTTTCCATGAGGAGTCAGGGGTGCAGAAACCTCCTCTGCCTCCCTGCGGGGACCCTTGGCATCAGTTGTAGGCTCTCAGGAAGGGCCCTGTCCCCCTCTTGGCTGAGTCCCTTTGGTCACCAGCACTGACACCCCTGTCCTGTGCTCAGGTACCAGTACCTGCGGCGCACGGGGAACTTTGAGCGCTCGGCCGGGCTGCAGGCTGGCGTGGACACGGTCGAGGTGAGCGGGGCAGAGGATTCAACCCTGACCGTGGCTTCCCTCCGGGAGCTGTTTCACCCTGCTCCTGCTGCTCCTGTCCGTCCCCTCCGCAGGACGGGCACAGCATCGTGTTCCTCTGCGACCTGCACATCCACTTCCCCTCCAACATCCTGGACAGCATCCGGAAGCACTGCGTGGAGGGGAAGCTGGCCTACGCGCCCATCGTCATGCGCCTGAGCTGCGGCAGCTCCCCCCGGGAGCCCAATGGTGAGCGGGGACCCCTGGGCCACCCCACTTTCCCCCTGGAGGGTGTGTTGGGTTACCTTTGGCTCCGTGTGCTTGTTCTGCTCTGCGGTGATGGGATTTGAGCCCCAAACCAGGCTGTCCCACGGTGCACACTGGGGGAGGTGGCAGTGATGGGAAAAGGGGTTGGGATGGGGCATTCCTGGGTAGTGGGGGCAGTGCAGAGGTGATGGCCTCGGATCTGGGGGTCCCCGCACCCCTCCCGTCACTGCTGTCCCCATCCAGGCTACTGGGAGGTGAACGGCTTCGGCCTCTTCGGCATCTACAAGTCGGACTTTGACCGTGTGGGGGGGATGAACACGGAGGAGTTCAGAGACCGCTGGGGCGGGGAGGACTGGGAGCTCCTGGACAGGTGAGACTGGGGGGGGGGGGGGGTCCCAGCAGCCCGGACCCTGGGGGGGGCTGGAGATGGGGGCACATCCCATGGGAACCCGCGGTCCCTTCCCTCCAGTGGGGCAGCACCAGCCTGGGGGGATGCTGCCTCCATCCCTGCCCCGCTGAGCGCTGCCTGTGCCCGCCGCAGGGTCCTGCAGAGCGGGCTGGAGGTGGAGCGCTTGCGGCTCAGGAACTTTTACCATTACCACCACTCCAAGCGCGGGATGTGGAACGCCCGCAGCAAGAAGGCGCCCAAGGACTAGAGCCGGGCCCGGAGCCGCCGCCGCCCCGCTGCCCGCCCTGGGGGTGATGGGCGCCCGCTCGTCCCCAGCCCGGCCGCTGCCGGTGCCCGCTGCGCGCCGCGGGTGTCCCGGGGAGGGGGGAGCGGGGAGGTCTTTGCAAGGGTCTCAGTTCGTAGGCGGAACCGAAGTTATTAACCGGGACCGGCTGTGGGAGGGAGGGAGGGAGCCGCGGCTCATCCCGGCGCCGGGGATGCTGGAGGTGGGAGGTGGTACCCGGACCCACAGCCGGGGATGCTGGAGGTGGGAGGCGGTACCCGAACCCACAGCCGGGGATGCTGGAGGTGGGAGGTGGTACCCGGACCCGCAGCCGGGGATGCTGGAGGTGGGAGGTGGTGCCCGGACCCACAGCCGGGGATGCTGGAGGTGGGAGGTGGTACCCGGACCCACAGCCGGGGATGCTGGAGGTGGGAGGTGATACCCGGACCCGCAGCCGGGGATGCTGGAGGTGGGAGGTGGTGCCCGGACCCACAGCCGGGGATGCTGGAGGTGGGAGGTGGTACCCGGACCCGCAGCCGGGGATGCTGGAGGTGGGAGGTGGTACCCGGACCCACAGCCGGGGATGCTGGAGGTGGTACCCGAACCTGCAGCCGGTGCTCGCCCTTCCCTGGGTCACCCCCAAACACCCAGCACGGTGTCAGGCTGCACACTGCGGGGCTGCAGTACCCACAGGAGGGGGATTTGGGTCCCTGGGGCTCCCCAAACCCTCCCCTCCTCGTGTGGAGCCGCCGTGGAGGGGAGAAGGGGTTTGGCTCTGCCCTGTGGCCGTAGGGATGGGGGGCAAAGCCCCTTGGCATGAGGGGCTGGCGCTGCTTGCACCCAGGGGCTGGGCTGGGGGGGGAAAGGGCAGAGCCCAAAGCAGGTACATGAGCAGGGGAGAGCAAATGCTGTTTCCAAGCTAATTTCTGTGAAATTATGAGGTAGGAAGCTGTTTTCAGGAAGTTTTGTCTGGTTTGGGGTTGTTTTTTTATTTTTAAATAAAATCATTGTCTTGGCCGGGATTTCCTTCCTCTCCATCACCCTCGGCCCCTGTCCCCTCGCTGCGGTGGGTGGGTGGGGGGCTGTGCAGGCTGGGAGCACGCTTTCGGATGCAGGAGAGGGATTCTCCATCAGGGACTGTAGCGATAGGACAAGGGGTGATGGGTTCAGACTGAAACGGGCAGCTCAGGTTGGGTGTAAGGCAGAAGCTCTTCCCTGTGAGGGTGCTGAGGCGCTGGCACAGGGTGCCCAGGGAAGCTGTGGCTGCCCCATCCCTGGCAGTGCTCAAGGCCAGGCTGGACACAGGGGCTTGGAGCAAGCTGCTCCAGTGGAAGGGGTTGGGGTTGGAGCTTTAAGGTCCTTTGCGCCCAAACCCGGCTGTGGGTCTAGGGTACGATCCTGTGCCCCTCGCAGTCCCCGCTGCTGTTCACAGGCAGCACCCAGGAGGGCTCAGGGCATCCTCCAGGAGCGCGGAGCTTGCGTGGGGTCAGTGGGGGGGGGGTCCAAGGCTCCCTTTGCACGGGTGGGATGGGGCAGGGGCGGGGGGGGGCACGGGGGGGGACCGGGGCTCGCTGAGGGCCCCCTTTGCGGTGCCGTGGGGAGGAGGCGGCAGCGCCGCGCTGGTGGTGCCCGGCGCACGCCCGGGCTTGCAGCAGGCTCCGAGCCTCCGCCCCACGCCTCGGCCCCACCCAGGCAGCTGCGTGCGCCCCACACATTGCATGGGGGGCTCGGGGTGCCCCGGGGGGGGGGAGCCGTGAGCTGCCCCGCTTGCTGCCGTGCGTGGATGGGAGGTACCTGCCCCGTCTGCTGGAGCGCCTGTTCCTGCCATAGACGTGCCTGGCACCACGCAGCGCCTGGGGGCTCCTTCTGCTCCTCAGCTGGGTGTCCCTGGGATGTGACCATTGCGTCCTTGCTGTCCTCCACCGTCACTGGGAGAGCTGAGCCCCGGTCTCCCCCAGCTGCATCCCCAGGGCTCTGAGCATCAGCCGAGCCGTGGGGTGAGGATGGAGGGGGTGGCTCAGCAACCTGTTTGCCATCAAACACTGCGCTTTGAGGGATTTTGTTCCAGATTTGGTACTTGTGGCTGCAGGGAGGGGACAGCCTCGGGGGGCAGCAGATTCTCCTCCCCACACTGCTGGTTTCTGCAGCACTTTGTTGTGGGTCGGGAGCTGCCCGACCTGTGGCCTGCGCCCTGATCCCTAAAGCCGCCTTTCCTTAGGCACAGCTTTTCCAGCAGCTTTCCAGCGGGAAAGCCACCGGCATCAGGGCAGGCACCAGGATCTGCTGCTGGTGATGCTGGGAGGGACTGGTGCCCCCAGCACCATCCCCACTGGGGACACTGGTCCAGCCCCACTGGGGTCTGGTCGGGGCAGCCCAGGGTTTTGGTTCTGTGGCAGTGGTTGAGCTGTGGGGACCATGGGGAGCCCCAGGGGACAGTGGGGTGCGGGCAGGTCCCCAGCGCTGGGTGAGGTGGTGGCCGGTGGCTCACCCCATCCCAAAGGGGATGCTGTGGTGACACTGGGGCTTGTTGAGGATGGTGGAGGCAAACACCAGCCGCAAGCAGCCTTGCTATGGGGCTGCCCTGGCGGTGGGGTGGCTGGAGGGGAGCACAGGAGCTTCCCCACACCTCCAGGCTGAGAACGGGCTGTGACAGCAGTGGCCAGGTCCTGGCATCCTCCTGCCCTGTGCTGGGCTTTGCCGGGGTCACCTCTCCACAGCACTGGGTGCAGTGTGGAGCCTGGCTGGAAGCAATGGCCCCCAAACTGGTTTGGCCCGTTCCAAACGCTCCCTCTCTGCTTATCTGGCTTCAAAGGGCTCCTACTGCATCCCACGCACACAAACATCTCCCTGTGATCCCCCCGGGGAGCCCCCTGCATCCCAAAATCTGCCCCCCCCCCAGCTTTGCCTCCCCTCCATCTCCTTTGGGCAGCCCCAAACCCCTCCTGTTGTACCCATGGGTACCCCATAGCTCGAGGGGGTGAGGTGGGAAGGACACGTCCCACGGCCACGGCAGTGGGTTCTAACGGTGACTGTTTGGAACGTTACAAAGCCGGATGCGATGTGGCTCCAGGGATGGGGCCGTGGGACCCCGGGGCACCCCGCAGCCCCCCGGCCGTGCCGGGGCTCACAGTGGAGCCGCAGCAGCCCCAGGAGCTCACACTTGGCTGCGAGGGGAGCGGGTTTGGAGGCTCATGCAAAACACCCGCATGTGAAGAGCAGACTGGTTGGGTAGGTCCCGGGGCGGGCCCGCGCTCAGCCCCACGCCCGCTGCCCCGGCCCCACTGCAGACGGCATCGCCCACCCTGCACCGGCACCCGCGGTAGCACCCAGGGGTGCCGCTGCCGCCCGGGACGATGCTGCAGGGCAACGGCGCTCCGGGGCCACCCAGCAAGGTACGTGCGGGCCGGTGCCCAGCGCGGCTCCCTCGGACACCGGTGCCCCCAGTTCCCCGGATGGGCAGGGCCGGGACCCCCGCTCCGCTCCGCTCTGCCCGGAGGCTTTGCCCCTGCTCTCCTCCTGCCTCCGTTTCCCCCGCGCCCGTCCGCGGCGGCGCCTCCCTGCCCGAAGCGGCACCGGGGACCCGGGTGTGGGACGGGTGGCACCGGCGTGCGGGTGCCCGGGGATGAGGCGCACCCAGGGCCCGGGGTGGCCCCGGGGATGTGGCTCTGTCACCTGCAAAGGGAGGGGTAGGGGAGCCTCCAGGCTTGGGGACCAGTGACCGCTTTAGGGATCCCCAGCCCGAGGTAATTTCACCCTGTGTCACCCCCACTGTGGGTGGGTCCCCTCGGGAACCCCCGCTTTTTCCTTCAAATGTGAGACTTTCTGTGCCGATTTGCTACTTCTGAAGCATCCCAGCGCATTCCTGCTCCCATCCGATGCTTTGCTCTATTACCAAACCGCTTTACAAGGCGAGCGCTGCCTCAGCCCCCTCATAACCCCCATTCCCAGCAGCAGCAGCAGGGCAGTGTCACACCGGTGGGATGGGGGCTCGGAAGGGAGGCGGATCCTGGGGGAATGGGGCTGCCAGCGGGCTCAGGGCCACCCCGGCCCCGCTTTGTCCCCGGGGCTGGAGGGGCTCCGGGCCGCCCCCGAGCCCCCCGGGGCTGGCAGGGGCTGGGCGGGCAGGCAGCGGCTTGCAGGGAGCGATCCGCCCTCCCCGCCTGCTCCCGGGGGGATCCCGTGATTCAGCCGGAGCGTTGGGAGCGTCCCGCTGAGCTCTGCCAAGCGCGGGCACCCGCCGACGCTCCCGTGGGGAGGGAAAAGGGGGGGGGGCCTTGGGGTGATCCCTGTACCCACAACGGGTCCGGTGGGACCCATCAGTGGTGGTGTCACCCCACTGGCCCCTGGGCACCACGCGATGGTGGCACCGGGGTCTGCGGGGTTTGGGGAGGGAAGCAAAGCGGGGTCCATCACCCCGAAACAAAGCCGGGTCGGGCACAGGGGCTCGGAGCAAGCGGCTCCAGTGGAAGCGGTCCCTGCCCGTGCCGTTGGAGCTGGAGGTGCTTTCAGGTCCCTCCAACCCCAACGTGACTCTGATTGCAAACCGCGCACCGCAGCTCCCGCCTCCCCACCCCGGCACCCGCCGCTGCTCCTGCTGACGGCGGCACATTCCTTAGGGCCAGCCGCCCTCCTCACCCTCCCAGCGGAGCTCAGCACCGCCCCGCCGCTGTCACTGCCCCGCCGCAAGCCGGGCCCGGAACGCTGGGGCCGGGCGGGTTCGGGCGCTGACGCCAGGAGCTGAGCCGCGGCCGCGGTGCCACGCTCGGCTTCAAAGAGGCAGCGCCAGCTCCTGAGCCCGGGCTCTGCGCTGGGGCCAACAGCAGGGGCAGAGCCCCAGGGCCGCGCATGGCAGAGAACGGGCGCAGCTCGGTTCAGGAGTGAGCGGCTCAAGAGGGGCTCAGCGGCTGTCGGGGGCGATGGGCGCTGGTGCCGTGGGGGTCCCGGGAGCTGCTCACGGCACTGGGGGGGGTTCGAGGTGTCCCTGGAGGCCGAGGCGGGTGGGGTGAGGTTAATGAGTACCTGTGGTGGCAGCGGCTGAGTCACCGCGTTCGGTTCCGCCGGCGCTGAGCCGCCCCTTCTCGCTTCTGCAGTCATTGGTAGCGCGGTGCTTTAATTCCCGGCTGATTTGAAAAGCAAAGCAGGGAGGGCCCGGCCCGTAATTACCGCCAATGAGCCCCTGCTCGGCCCTATGGAGGGCCAGCCCCCCCCGCCCCGCCGAAGGGGTTTGCTGGTGGGGGGCAGCCCCGGGACTGGGGTCAGTGGGGGCTCTCCTAGGGGGTGGCTCGGGACCTGGGGCTCTCTGGGGAGGCTGCCTGGGGCTCGCTGGTGGGGCCAGGGGGGGCCCAGGGCTCTCCTGGGAGGTTACCTGGAGCCCTGGGTTCATTGGAAGGATGTTGTGGCTCTCTAGGGGTCAACAGGGAGATTACCTGGGATCCCGGGGCAGGGGGGAGCCATGTGCGGTCTGGGGATTGCCAGAGGGGCAATCTGGGGGCCTGGGGTTCTCTGTAGTGTCCCCGTGTAGCTCTGGGGCTCTCCTGTGAGCTCTTCTAGGGGCCTTGAGCTCACAGGAGGCACAAAGGGGGTCTCTGAGGGGTCACTGGTGGGGCTCTTTGGGGTCTGGTGGGTCTGGCTCTCACCGCTGCAGCATAACCCCCCCAGACCCCCCGAGGGCAGCCTGCTCCCTCGAGCCCGTGTCCCCGAGAGGTCACCGCGGGTGCTGGCACCGGTGTCACCGGTGTCACCGGTGCTGGTGTCACTGGCGCTGATGTCACCGGTGTCACTGGTGCTGATGTCACCGGTGTCACCGGTGCTGGCGGCGCTGGGGCCGGGTGCGTTCCCTCCCTCCCGGGCGGGGCGGCGCGGGGCAGGGCGGGCCGGGCTGAGGGAGCCGCCGCCGCTCACCTGCACAGGGCGGCCGCTCGCCTCGGCCTCCGCACCCCCGCCGCCGCCGCCGCCATGCAGGAGACCAACGCGTTCCTGCTCTCGGCCCTGCAGCCCGAGGCCGGGGTGTGCTCGCTGGCGCTGCCGTCGGACCGGCAGCTGGACGGCAGGAGCCGGGAGACGGCCGAGGCCCAGCGGCTGCGCAGCGCCCGCGTGCAGGAGCAGGTCCGCATCCGCATGATGCTGAGGGGCCCCGCGCCCGACCACGGCGACGGCACCAGAGGTGGGAGAACCCCCCCGTGTCCCGTCCCCCCCATCCGGGCACACGCGTCCGGTCGCGCGTCGGGAGCCCATCGGCCAACCCCGGCCTTGGGTTCACACCTCGGAGCGGGGTTTTGGGGGTGCCCCCACCCGGATGAGCCCCCACCGCACCCCCGGCACTGGGGAAGGGGCTGCACGGCCCCACTGCGGGCCCCACTCAGGGGTCGTGCCCCAGCTTCCCCCCTGCCCCGGGGAGGGTTTGCACTGGGGGGGTCCCGCGCCCCGCTTGGGTCGGGGGGGGGGGGGGTTCTGCTTGTCCCGGCAGCTCCCTGCCCGTCCCCGCCAGCCTTTGAGCTGCGCCTCTGGCCGGGCTCCAAGCTCCTCCATTAACGTCTGCTCCCGGCCTCCGCCCTGCGCTGGGCCCGCACCGGTGCTGGGGTTCACCGGGCCCCGGTCCGCGGTGCTGGGGGCCTCGGTGGTGGGGGGAGACGTGAGACCCCTCTCGGCACCCCCAGGGCTGCCCCGTGGCGGCTGTGAGTCACGGTCCCATCCCTGCCGGCGCTGGCAATGGCCCCGTGCCCGCCAGCGGCCCTGCGGCGGTGGTGAAGGGTGCGGTGGGGCTGGTCCCGGCTGGGATCCCGTCCCCGTGGTGGGATCCCGTCCCATGGTGTGACCCCATCCCCATGGTGTGACCCCATCCCCATGGTGTGACCCCATCCCACAGTGGGATCCCGTCCCCAGGGTGGCGGAGCCGGGACTGGCTTTGAGGGTGCCTGGGTTGTTGATCCGGCTACGGCTGAGCCGCCATGTCCCCGCCAAGGTGGCAATTACTCCCTTTGCCGTTGGGGCAGGATGAAAGGCAGGAGGCTGGCACTGCCCCTGGTCAGCAGGCAGGCAAAGGCAGTGTCCTCCTGCTCCCTTATCCCCTATGGCTCCCGACGCAGGTCCCTCTGGGATGAGTTGTGGGATCTCTGGTCCCCAGGACCAACCCTGTGGCTGATCCCCCCCATCTCCATCCCATAGGCAGTCAGTATGGCACAGCCCTGCGCTCCTCCTTCAGCTCCCGCTCGCAGAGCAATGGTGTGGACCCCAAAGCCTCGGTATGTACCGGGGGGTTCATCCCCTCACGCTGCCCATCCCTGCGGCAGCTGGGAACGCCAGAGAGGCCCAGCCTGGCTGTGGTTTTGGCTGTGCCAGGGGAGACTCTGGGCTCCGTGCTCCCCTCTCCCGGTGGTGGGGATGGAGGGGCAGGCTCAGGGCTCCCTTAACCCCCTGCTCGCCGCCGCAGCTCTATCAGCCGCTGACCAAGAAGGACTTCGGCACGCTGAAGGGCAGCGCCTGGTCCTCGCGCTCGGCCGTGGACCTCACCCCGCACAAGCGGATGGCGACCGTCAGCAACGGGGGCCTGGCCAAGGGCCGCGGCTACGGCTACGCCATGTCCCAGGCGGGCACCGGCTCCCCGCGGCCCAGCTCCTTCCACGAGCGCAGCTACCGCGCACGGCAGAACCTGGACACGCTGTCCCTGCGCTCGCTGCGCCTGGCCGAGGGGCCGCTGCCGCCCCACGCCGTGGCTGACGACCGCTACAGCGTCCTCTCGGAGCAGCTGGACTCCGTGGGCCACCGCCCGCTGTACCGGGGCCAGGGCAGCGGCGGCTTCAGCCGCTCCTACACCTTCGAGCGGCAGCTGAGCGGCGGCTCCACCGCCAAGGCGGCCTCGGAGTGGCTGGAGGGCAGCGAGGTGCCGCAGAGCCGCACCATCCGCGCCCCCGCCATGCGCACGCTGCAGCGCTTCCAGAGCAACAACCGCTCCCGGCTCAGCACCGGCTCCTTCGGCAGCATCCCCGCGGGCCCGCAGCCGGGGGGCGGCTCCTACCTGGGGCTGGTGGAGCACAGCTCCCGCGCCCCCTCCGTGCGCAGCCTGGCCGAGTCCAGCCACCACCTGCAGGATCAGCGCGGGATGGAGATGTACAACGGGCACGGCACCCTGCTCAGCCACCAGTCGGGGGGGTGAGTGACAGCGGGGGTGCCCTCCTTGTCCCCACCGAGGCTGGGCGAGGGCAAACCCTTCTGTCTATTGCCTGGTGCTGCCTTGCCGCGAGGGATGCGGGAGAAGGGGTGAGATGGAGGTAAATGCCCCATCCCTGGCAGTGCTGGAGGCCAGGTTGGACACAGGGGCTTGGAGCAAGCTGCTCCAGTGGAAGCGGTTGGAGCTGGAGGAGCCTTAAGGTCCCTTCCAACCCAAAGCATTCTGTGATTCTATGGTGGGAATAAGTTGACCCCATAGTGATGGAGCATGGCACGGGCTGTCCCCAAGCATGTCCTTTGTGTGGGTTTAGCTTCTCTCAGACACATGCTGAGACACCAAGGTAGGAAGATGCTCACTAAGCTGGGTCTGGAGTCTCATGCCCAAGAGCGTGGTGGATTGATGGGTCTCCTCCGAGGTGCAGGTGTGGAGGACCCTTGTGGTTTGCTCTGCTGGGCTCTCCTCACCTGCCCATGGTTCCAGGTTTGATGACATCGACCTGCCCTCGGCAGTGAAGTACCTGATAGCCACGGACCCCAACCTGCAGGTGCTGGGCGCTGCCTACCTCCAGCACAAGTGCTACAGCGACAGCAACGCCAAGAAGCAGGTGAGCACCGGGGGGCAGGACAAGGGGGTGCCCCGGCCCCTTTGCATGGTGCAGGACCCAAGGGAGCCCCATCCCCTGCTGTCCCCTGCAGGCCCGCAGCCTCCAGGCCATGCCCAAGCTGGTGAAGCTGTTCAACAGCCCCAACCAGGAGGTGCAGCGCCACGCCACGGGCGCCATGCGCAACCTCATCTACGACAACGCCGAGAACAAGCTGGCGCTGGTGGAGGAGAACGGCATCTACGAGCTGATGCGGACGCTGCGGGAGCCCGACGATGAGCTGCGCAAGAACGTCACAGGTTGGGGAGCACGGCAGGGGCTCCTCCGGGGGGTGGCACCCATCCCATAGGGATGCTGGGGGTGACAGCTTCGTGCCATCGTTACCCACCCTGTCCCGTGGTGGCTCCTGCCTGGGGGTGTTGATGTGAGCCCCCCGCGGTGGATGCGCTCCCGTCATGAGGATCCCTCTCTGCGCAGGGATCCTCTGGAACCTCTCCTCCAGTGACAACCTGAAGGACCGCCTGGCCCGGGACACACTGGAGCAGCTCACGGACCTGGTGCTGGTCCCGCTCTCGGGGCTGGGGGGCTCGGGTGTCATCCAGCAGAACCCCTCGGAGGCCGAGATCTTCTACAACTCCACCGGCTTCCTCAGGTACCTGCTGGGGCGGCTCCGGTCCTCGCACCGTGGGGACAGGTTTGGGTGGAGCAGGAGGCACCACGCATGCTGGGCACGTAGGGAGCAAGGCCTCCAGGGCCCCTTCCTGGGTCCCCATCCCTTGCAGCACTCGTGCATCAAGGCAAAGCCTGCTCAGCCCCATGGGACAGGTATCAGCTGCCCTCCCCACGGTGGTCCTAGGGGCACAAAGGGGTGGCCATGGGGGACCCCCTTCTTGCTGTGATGAGCCCATGTTCCCCATGCAGGAACCTCAGCTCTGCCAGCCAGCAGACCCGGCAGAAGATGCGTGAGTGCCATGGGCTGGTGGATTCCATGATCCATTACGTGAACAGCTCCCTGGAAGTGGGCAAGTCAGAGGACAAGGTGAGCCCCAGGAGCTGGGCGCTGGGAGGCTTTGGGTGCCTTCAGATGTGGTGCTGCTCCCCGTCTCCTTGCAGCCTGGCCATCACGGTGCAAAGGCCCATCTTGATGGGATGGTGGGAAAACCAGCCCGGCTCCATCTGGGCTTACTGGGCAGCGCTGGTGTCATTGGTGTGACTCTGATGGAGCCCCACGGGGATGTGCCATTAGAGATGCCCCGTCAGGTGGCACAAGGACTCACACCCCCGTGTCCCATCTCCCCCACCCAGAGCGTGGAGAACGCGGTCTGCGTCCTGCGCAACCTCTCCTACCGCCTGTACGACGAGATGCCCCCGTCCTCGCTGCAGCGCCTGGAGGGCCACCGGCGGAACACCAGCAGCACGGTGACGGGGGAGCTGGTGGGCTGCTTCAGCCCCCAGAGCAAGAAGGCGCGAGAGGTCAGCGCCGGGGGGGTGGTGGGACCGTGTCCCGGGGCTGGGGTGGCAGCGGGATGCGGGCGGCAGCGCGGTGATGCTGGGTGGAGGTGGATGCGGCCGCAGCGCGGCGATGCTGGGTGGAGGTGGATGTGGCCGCAGCGCGGTGATGCTGGGCAGGGGTGGATGCGGGGCGGAGGTGGACGCGGGGCGGAGGTGGATGCGGGCGGAGGTGGACGCCGGCCTCGGTCCAGGGCTGGGACACGCAGATGAGCTCAGCGCCGGTGATTCAGGAGCGTGGTGTGAATCAGGGCGCTGAGCCCCTGCTCCGCCGTGCCACGGGTGTGACAGAGCCAGCACGGGCTGCCCAATGCCTGAGGCTGGGCACGGGGGGAGAGGGGAGAGCAGCAGCAGCGAGGGGTGCATCCCGGCGGCTCCAACAGCACCCTCCCCGCAGCACTACCTGAATGCGGACATCGTCACCTTCACGGAGGTCTCCAAGGACCCCAAGGGCATGGAGTGGCTCTGGAACCCGCAGATCGTGGGCATCTACAACCGGCTGCTGCAGCGCTGCGAGCTCAACAAGCACACCACGGAGGCGGCCTCGGGCGCGCTGCAGAACATCACCGCTGGGGACCGCAGGGTGAGGGCGCGGGGGGAACGGCCCCGGGGGATGCCACGCCTGGCCTGAGTGTCCCCGTCACCGCACCAGTCACAGGGCTGGGGTGCACCTTCATGTGGGCTGGTACCGGTCTTTCCTGGGTGGGGAACGTGTCCATCGCACCACTCACCACCCAGGCATGGTAACCCGACCTGGCCCTGTTGAGCAAGAGGAGGAGGAGGAGGAGGAGGGGGCAATGGGAGTCCCGCTGGGTCCCGTTGGCGTCTCTGAGCAGTGTGTGCCCCGCAGTGGGCGGGCGTGCTGAGCCGCCTGGCCCTGGAGCAGGAGCGCATCCTGAACCCGGTCCTGGACCGCGTCCGCACCGCCGACCACCACCAGCTGCGCTCCCTGACCGGGCTCATCCGCAACCTGTCCCGCCACGCCCGCAACAAGGACGAGATGTGTGAGTGTGGGGAGGAGCCCGGCGCCCGCCCTTCGCCCTCTTCCTCCTCGCTCTGTCCTCCAGTTACCTCCAGCCCCGTCCCAGCACCCTCCTGCCCGCTGCATCCCTGCTCTCATGCGTGTGGAGGCCGCTCCATCCCCAGCACCAAACACCCTCCATACCCTGTGCTCTGCCTCCAACCCCTCCATCCCGTCGGCTTTGTCCTCATCCCCCAGCTCCAATCCCGGCTGCCCAGGGAGAGGCTTGAAGCATCCCTGGTGCTGGTCCCTCCGTCCCCTCCCTGCACCCCGAGGCTGCCGCGTGTCCCCGGTGCAGCCGCCGGCCCTGACGCACTGCCCTTGCCGCAGCCACCAAGGTGGTCAGCCACTTGATCGAGAAGCTGCCGGGCAGCGTCGGGGACAAGGCTCCTCCGGCCGATGTCATCGTGAACATCATCGCCGTGCTCAACAACCTGGTGGTGGAGAGCCCCATGGCCGCCCGCGACATCGTCTACTTCGATGGCCTCAGGAAGCTCTTCTACATCAAGAAGAGAAGGGACAGGTGGGGGCTCCTCTCTGCTCTGCTCAGGCCCTGCTCTGCCCCTGCTCCCCTGGTCCCTTCCCAAGGCTTGGTGTTGGGATGCCCCAGAGCAGCTCAGAGTGGCCTCATGGCCTCCTTCAACCCCTTGGCCGCATCCTCTGGACCCCCCCCATGGGCTGGGATGCAGCCACCTTCTCACATCTGGGTGCTCCTCACCACTCACTGCTTGCCTCCCTGTACTCTGCTGGGCTCCAGCCTTTATTCTTCTGCCCCTTCTCACCAGTGTTGAGTCTTCATCCCCTAGGGCCCTCCTGGGGTGGGATCCTTGGGGTGATGGGCACTACCCTGTGTGCACTGGTACCCAAAGCTCATTGCACCCTGTCCCTGGCCAGCTCGGACAACGAGAAGTCCTCCCGAGCAGCAGCCAGCCTCCTGGGCAACATGTGGCAATACAACAAGCTCCACCGGGACTTCAAGATGGTGCGTACCAGCCCCGGTGTCCCATCCCACTGGTGGGATCCTGAGGGAGTCAAGGCCGTGGGCTTCACCCTGAAAAGCCACAACCCAAAGACTTGGAACAGTCTCACAGTGCCCAAAGGGGCTGTGGGAAACCTGGAGAGGGGCTTGGGACAAGGGCCTGTAGGGACAGGGCAAGGGGAATGGCTTGAACCTGCCCGAGGGGAGACTGAGCTGAGCTCTTAGGCAGAAGCTCTTCCCTGTGAGGGTGCTGAGGCGCTGGCACAGGGTGCCCAGAGAAGCTGTGGCTGCCCCATCCCTGGCAGTGCTCAAGGCCAGGTTGGACACAGGGGCTTGGAGCAAGCTGCTCCAGTGGAAGGGGTCCCTGCTCGTGCAGGGGTTGAAGCTGGATGGGCTTTAAGGTCCCTTCCACCCCAAAGTGCTCTGGGGTTCTGTAATACGTGAAATGCTTTCAGGTGCACAACGGGCCCCAGCTCCGTGTTTCCCCCTCCTGAAGGGGGGGCTGTCCCCAGAGCATCCTCCCCGTGGTGGTACCTGCCCTGATGGGGTTGATGCCGTGGCACAGCAGCTCCGTGCACATGCTCCCGGCCCCATCGAGGTGCGGGCAGGGTGCCCTGGGCAGGGGGTGACCGTGTCCGTGTGTCCTTGCAGAAGGGGTACCGGAAGGAGGACTTCCTCGGCCTGTGAGGACACCGGGACCGCGCTGCCCTCGGCTGCCTCCTCGGCTGCTCCCCACCGGACCCCGCTCCATAGCGTAGACCCCACCGCATCCCCCGTGCCCGCACCGGGTCCCTTCCCCGCATGGGGACGTTCGTCCTCGCTCCTGCCCAGCCCTAACCCCAGCCCCTGCTTTGGGCCCTGCTGCGGGGCCCCGCTGGGAGCACAGTTAGCGAGGGGCTGCCCCATGGCTCCCAGGGCTGCTCAGACCTGGGGTCCCTACAGGCTCCGGGGGGGGGCTGGCTGCACAGCAGAGCTTGGCTCATGGCTCAGTGGGAGCTGGAGGCTTTGGGGAGCTCCTGCAGGGAGGTGGGGAGGGGGCTTTCAGGACCTTCCATTCCCAAGTCACCGTGCTGCAGGGGCTGCTGTGGGGCGCGCTATGGGGTGCGCTATGGGGTGCACAGGCTCTGCCCTGGCTGGGGGGGGACGGGGCTTTGCGTGGCTCAAAGGATGCTCAGGGAGGCCTGAGCCGGCTTCCCAGGTGTTGGGGGGTGCATTGGTGGCTGTAAGGAGCTGGGAAGCTCTGTTGGTGTGATGGGGTGCCAAGTCCCCCCTTTGCAGGGATGGGCTGGGGAGTGACTGAGGCTGCCCATGCCCTCTGCCAGGAGCCCCATAGGGACTGGCTGCTCCTCGGTGGCTGCTCTGGGCTGGGCCTGGCCCGTGCTGCATGAGCAGGATTTGGGTAGGGCCAGGTCGTGTTTGCTGGGTGGCATCTCCCTGCGGGGTGGGGAGATGCTCTGGGTGCCCTGGGTGCTCTCTGGGTGTGCTGGGTGCTCTCTGGGTGCCCTGGGTGTGCTGGGTGCCCTGTGGGTGCTGTGGGTGCCTGGCATAGGCAGGGGGGTGCCAGGTCAAAGCTCTCCCTGTCAGGGGTGTGGGTGCCTGTGGGGTGGCTTCGCTCTGTCTGTGGGTGTGGGGCTGGGGGGACCCTGCTGTGCTTGGGGTGCTGTGGCCCCCCTTTGGGACACCAGGTAGAGAGGGGAGGCTGGGGGGAGCGGGTGGCACAGCCGGCGTTGGTGTCACCCATCTGTGCGTGGCACCCACATGGCCCAGGCCGGGTGTCTCAGTGCCTTTGTCCTCCCCATTCTCATGTACAAACACCCTGAGCCCTGCGTGTCCCCAAATAAAGCCTTGAACGCTGCCCATTGCTGTGCCCCCCCCCCCGATGTAAGCCCCACTGCCCATGGGGTGCTGCTGTGGGTTGGTACAATGGGGACAGGACGTGGCTCAGGAATGGGACCAGCACCACCGGCCATGGTGGGGCCAGACCCACTGCTGGCACCCGCATCCCTCAGGTGGATGGGACCCACTCTGTGCAGCAGCGTTTTATTGCCATGGGTTTTTCCATGGGAGAGAGGGTGCCACGGCCACCCTCATCAGACCGTTCCCTTGGGACTGGAGCATGTTTCCTCTCAGAGCATCCCCATCCCAGTGCTGGTCCAGCAGGCAGAACCCCCCCCCGCTGCACACGGTGAAGGAGGGGGCCCCAGCTCCCAAAGGCGCCCAGGCACCACGGGCTGCGGAGCCCCTTGGTGATGGTTTCCCACCGTGGACAAGGATCCTTTGCCTGCTGTGACCGTGGCTGCGGTGCCTGGCAGAGCCCGGGCTGCCCCCGCCGCGCTGGGTCCGTGCAGCTCAGATGTCCTCCTCCGTCACCAGGCAGTAGAAATCCGTGCGGGCGCCGTAGTTGCGGGAGCCCAGGTCCGAGACGTCGATCTCTGCTCTCTGCCCATCCCGGAGCTGCGCCTGCCCCGTGCCAGCGGCAGGCACCGGCGCGGCCAGGCGGGGAGGGGGGGGGCTCCTGAGCACGCACTCCCGGAGGCCTGGAGATGGGGGGAGAGGGGTTCGGGTGGGGAGGGGGCTGAGCCTCTCGGGAGGGTGAAGCAAAGCCCAAAGGGGACCTGCAGCGCACGTCTGCCCCCCCCCGGGCGATCCAGGGGACAAGGGCTGTACCCAGGTCCCCATCCGGGTGCAGGTCTTCGCCGCTGTCCAGGTAGCTGCTGTGCAGGATCAGCATGGGGTCCTTGTCCTCCTGCAGCTGGGTCTGCGGGTCCCCCACGGGCCCCTGGAAGGAGACCCTGCGGGGCAGGGCCAGGCACAGCTCCTTCCAGAAGTCGGACGAGGGGGTCTGTGTGGGGCAGGGGGAGATGAGCAGCGCTGGGAGCGCCACGAGCCCAGCCCAGCCCCATGCAGGGCTCTGTGGGGCTCAGCTCGCTCTTCGCAGCACCGGGAGCTGAGCCAAGGCCAGGGCTGTGCTGGTGGAGAAACCGGCCCGACCGGCTGGAACGCTCCCAGCCTGGCCCTGGAATGGCCGGAGCAGCCAGAGGGCAGCTTCACCCCGAGAGCCGAGGCTTTACCCTGGTGCCTTGGCTGGGGCAGACCCCGGGGGGCTCCTGCGCTGGGCGTGGGGACCCAGCAGCAGCTCGGGGCTGGTTTGGTTGGGTTTTCGCTCTCTAACAGCGAGTGCCCCAACCTGCCCTTGAGGAGCAGCAAAGCGCAGGGAGCAGCCCCGGAGCGCTGCGGGGAGGCTGACACAAGCCGGGCTGCTGGGATGGATGGCAGCGGGGGGGCTGCTGGGACCGGTCCTGCTCGGCTCTCACCATGGAGCCCGCTCGCCACAGCAGCAGGGTGACGGCACCGCGGTGCTGCTTGAGCAGGGTGATGGCGGGGTGCTGGATCTCCCGGTACTGGCTCTCGAAGATGATGAAGATGGGTTTCTTGGAAAGCTCCAGCAGCCTCCAGAGCCCTTCCCTGGGAGACAACGCTGTGCCAGAGCCCAGCGCCCGCCGGCTCCTCTGCCCCGGGCGCAGGCAGGACCCGCTCCTACCTGAAGCTGCTGTTGCACCAGTCCTGCTCCAGGTACGCGGCGGAGAGCACCACGATGAGGCGCCGGCACCGGCTCACGTTCATGATGAGGTCGGCCGATGGCTCTGCGGGGACAGGGGGGTCAGGGCCCGGGGTGCTGCCGGGGGCCTGGCCCGGCCCCGCATGGGGCTGCTCCCACCTGCATTGGGCAGGATGGTTTGCTCGTCCAGGAAGAGCTTGTATCCGTAGCGGGTCTCCAGCTGCGGCTTCACGATGAAGTGGACGAACTTGCGGTCATCGGGGGCGGTGGCGTGGGACACGTAGGCATCGTAGAGCTTCCCGTCTGCGGGGGGCACGGAGGCAGGGCATGAGGCTGGGGGGGTCCCCAAGGGGCACCATCCCGGTGCCCTGCCCGGGGGCTCACCGTTGATCTCCAGCTCTCCATAGCGGTTCCGGTACCAGAGGAGCACGTTCAGGCGGCAGTGCACGTAGAGCCCAGCGGCCAGCATGAGGAGCACCAGGACCAGGAGGGCTGCCAGCACCGCGGGTACGTGCCCTGCCACCTCTGCGAGCACAGGAAGGGCACGGTGAGCTGAGGACTGGGGCCGGATGTAGGGGTTTGGGGTAGGGCACCCCCAAGTGCTGCCCTGCAGAGGTAGCAGTGCCCCACCACCCACCTCGATGGTCCCCATGGGGCTGCTGCTCCTGCCCGTGGCAAGTGGGACCTCCGTGGAGGTGTCCTTTTGTCCCATCGTGTCCCTACCTGCTCTCCGCAGGGTGAAGGTGGCCGTGGCATTGCTGACCCAGCAGGCAAACACCCCGAAGTCGCCGTCATGTGTGAGGTTGAGCTGCAGGACGCTGCTGAGGAGCTGCTCCGAGGCATTCGGGGCAAACCTGTGGGGAGATGGGGCCGTAGTGGGTTGGGCTGTGCGGTGACCACCCCGACAGACACAGACACACAGACACACACACAGACACAGACACAGACCCACATACACACAGACACAGACACAGACCCACATACACACAGACACAGACACAGACCCCCAAGGGGTGCTGCTTACCAGGCCGTGTCCTGGCTGCTGCCGTTGCCCAGCCACTGCCCGTCCTTGCTCCAGGCGGGGCTGTGCTGGCAGCGCCCGGTACCCGCCCAGCGCACGGTGCAGTTCAGCGCCACGCGGGCGCCCAGCGCCAGCTCCAGCGTCTCGTTGGTGGCGGGGACCAGGACCTCGGGGGGGAGGCTGCAGGGGTCTGGGGGCACACGGGGGGAGCGGTGCTAACAAAGCCAGGGCAGGGAGCGGGACCCCATGGAGGCTCCCGTCCTGCACCCACCTGCCATGGTGAGCCTGGGCGCCGCGCCGGGAGCTGCCGCATCACCGGCACCTGGAGGGCCCCGCGCCGCCGGCTCTTCCGGGGTCAGAGTCCATCCGGCACCGGGGCCCTGAACGGGTCAGACACGGCCCCGTGAGCGCCGGTGCCTGCGGCCGGGCAGCACAGGGAGAGCCCCGGGGGTCCCCATGGGTGCGGGTCGGGGGCAGCGGGAGCCGGAGCCGGAGCCGTGTCCCGGCCGTGGCTCCTCGGTCACGGTGCCAGCTCCCTGCAGCCCCACAGCCAGGCAGGGGGTTAATGACCAACCAGGACCTTAAAGCGTGGCTTCGGCTCAAGGCAGAGGCCAGGGAGGGGACAGGAGCCACAGCTGTGGTTCAGCCATGGGGCGAGGTGTCCCCATGGGTGTGTTTGGGGGCTCAGTGGGACCCTGTTCATGGCACCAGTGCCCTGCCTTGGCTGCAGTGCTGCTTCAGCCTGTGTGCCCATTGAAACTGCTAACTGAGCAGTGCGGTGCTTTGATTTAATTAAGGCTTATGGGGGACCTCAGAGCAGCTCCAGTGCCTAAAGGGGCTGCAGGAAACCTGGAGAGGGGCTTGGGACAAGGGCCTGTAGGGACAGGCCAAGGGGAATGGCTTGAACCTGCCCGAGGGGAGACTGAGCTGAGCTCTTAGGCAGAAGCTCTTCCCTGTGAGGGTGCTGAGGCGCTGGCACAGGGTGCCCAGAGAAGCTGTGGCTGCCCCATCCCTGGCAGTGCTCAAGGCCAGGTTGGACACAGGGGCTTGGAGCAAGCTGCTCCAGTGGAAGGGGTCCCTGCCCTGGCAGGGGTTGGAGCTGGGTGAGATTTAAGCTCCCTTCAACCCAAACCGTTCTGGGTCTCTAATTTACAGGATCAGGCTCCCCACCCTGTGAGCTCCTGGTGTTGAGCTCAGCGGGTGCAGCTCTCTCCTCGCATCAGGAGGCTCAGCGGGTGCTGCCCTGCGGCCATGCCTGGGGCCGGGCACAGCAACACAAGGTGCAGGCAGGAGCACGAGGACGATGCCCAGGGACCGGGGGAACCGGCCCCCCGCTGGTATCACTCACTCAGCGGCAGCATCGCTGCAGGAGCCCGCGGGAGGGGGCCCAGGGAGGACACGGGTAAATCACAGCAGTGCGATGGGGCACGGCAGCAATGGGGGAAGCAGGGCCCGGCAGTGGGGCCGGGCTCCTCCATCCCTGGACACCTGCAGGAGCACCGGGAGCAGGCACTGGGTGCGCTCTGGGATCGAGGACGTGATGGTGCTGGGGGGCTCTGCAGGACTGTGAACACGTCCCAAGGAGCAGGAGGAGCAGGGACCAACACCCCCCGGCTCTCCTGCCCCACAGCCTCCTCCAGCCCTGTTCCAAACTGGTTCAGGCAGCAGTGGGGCTGGGGAGGCCCTGGGGGAGCTGAATGCTGCTGGCGTGGCCGGGGAAGGGGGTCTGCAGCAGTGCTGTGAACCACGGCTCATTGCTTCCCTCTGGCACAGCAGCGCTGGTGCCAGGCGTGGGGTGAAGCTGGGTCAAGGTCCAAGAGGGACGGTTATAACGTGTTCAGCTTGAGCTGAAGCGGTTCATTCCTGCAGTTCAGCTGGGTTGCACCAGGGATGGAAGAACAGGGGCCAGAGAGGAGCCGGCCCACCCAGTCTTTCCATGGGGAAGGGGGTGGGAGATGCTCCACCAGGGAGCCCAGGGCCTTTCCCTGCCTGGTGGGGATGATCCAGCTCTGCTTGGTGCTGCCTGGCTGGGGCACTTGTAGTCCCAGACTGGTTTGTGTTGGAAGGGACCTTAGAGCTCATCCAGTTCCTTTAGGCACTGGAACACTGACGGGCAGAAGGAAGCCCCAACAAGACGCAGCCTGGCCAGAGAGCTCAAGGACGCCCTGAACACCCATCTGGGGCAAGAAACGTCAATGGGTCCCCAAGGGTGGCCGGTGTCAGGGCTGCGACCGGAGGGAGGAGCGGAGGTTAACGGGCAGCAGCAGGCTCCCAAGGGCTGGGGGCAGCCGGCTCTGCTCCAAGCACAGCAGAGGTCGGCAATGGCTGGGCTGCAGCGTGTCCTCAAAGCACGGCCAAGGGAACACGAGGCAAGGAGCAAGCGGGAGAGGCAAGGGAGCAGCAGGGCTGGTGGGGAGAGGGCAAAGCCCCGCTCTGGGGACGTGGACACGGAAGGGGAAGCAGAGGAGAGGCTCCATTTACCTTCAGTGATCCCGTGCGGGGCCGCAGCTCCTGCCCGCGCTGCCCCCGTGCCGCTCCCTGCTGGCTCCTTTCTCGTTCCTCTCCTTTGGGATCGCTTTATGTGCTCCCCGTGCCAGCCCCTGCCCCGTGCCCCGCGCTGGCCCCAATGGCAGGGCTGCGGCGGGGCTCGGTCCCTCCTCCCCTGCTCCACCTCCGGCTCACCTGAACCTGCGGTGATCGCGGCCCGGCTCGGCTGCAGGGGAGGCGGAAAGAGGGAGCAGGGAGGGGGAAGGAGCGCACCCGGGATCCCGCAGTGCTCCCAGCGAGCTCAGGGGGGTGCTGGGGCAAGAGGGAGCCCGCAGCCGGCACCGCCAGCACCGGTAACACCGGATCTGCAGCCGCGGGTTGTAGCGGAGTGTGCGGGGGTGAAGGCGTCTGACACGGGGAGAGCCGGGGGCAGAGCCGGTGTCTGGGGCTCTGGATTCTGAGCACTGCAAGCTCGGTGCTCTCTGGCTTCATGAGGGTGAGTTACTGATGGAGGGAGGGGGAAAGGCGGGGCCCATGGGGATACTGAGGGCTTCTGCTTCCTTCCTTCTCCTTGGTGGTGTTAAAAGCCTCTTGGACAGGTGAAAGCAGGGCTGGGGCTGCTCTGATCGTGGGGAACTGGAGCCAGCCAAGAGGCCGTGATCACTGGTGATGATAACCGAGATGGGAGCAGCCCTGAGGAGAAGGACTTGGGCTGTTGGGTGAGGAGCAGCTCCCCATGACCTGGCTTCAGTGAGCGCTTGAGCGCAGAGCCCCCCCTGTGCTGCCTGCACCCCCAGAGCGTGAGCGGCAGCTACGGGAGGGGATCCTGCCCCTCTGCTGCGGGAAGGGGCGACCTGAGAGCAGCTCCAGTGCCTAAAGGGGCTGCAGGGAACCTGGAGAGGGGCTTGGGACAAGGGCCTGTAGGGACAGGCCAAGGGGAATGGCTTGAACCTGCCCGAGGGGAGACTGAGCTGAGCTCTTAGGCAGAAGCTCTTCCCTGTGAGGGTGCTGAGGCGCTGGCACAGGGTGCCCAGAGAAGCTGTGGCTGCCCCATCCCTGGCAGTGCTCAAGGCCAGGTTGGACACAGGGGCTTGGAGCAAGCTGCTCCAGTGGAAGGGGTCCCTGCCCTGGCAGGGGTTGGAGCTGGAGGAGCTTTAAGCTCCCTTCCAGCACAGAGCAGGCTGGGGATCTGGGATTCTGTGTTGGGAGCCTTTGCACGCCCCAGACACAGACTGCACGGGCTGCACGGGCTTTGTGCATAGCAACGGCACAACAGCAGCCTCCGCTGGTGAAGGAAACACCAACGTGCCCCACAGCCGTGCCCCCACAGCCGTGCCCCACAGCCGTGCCCCACGGCCGTGCCGCCCCCGTCTCTGGGCCCAGAACAGGGGCTCTTCTCCCCCCGGGAGGCCCCAGATGCAGCGGGAGGAGGCGGCGGGGATGGTTTGGGCTCCCAGCAGCTTCCTCAGCTCCCCCGGAGGCTGCGGTGCGGGAGCAGCCGCGGGAGGGGCCCCTGCGGCCTTCCCCCGCCCTAACGCGGGCCACAGCGGTTCTGCCTCCGCTGTGCACAGGGAAGGGAATGAACGCTCCGGAGCAGCGGTGATTCCGGGAAGGAGGAGCTGGAGCCCGCTCCCACCCGTGCCCTGACTGCCCGGGTCCCATCGCCCATGGCCACTTCCGCCCACCCCGCGCCGCCGCCAATGCGATGGTTGCACGGCAACAGCCCGCCGGAAGCGCGCCCGCGCGGTGCACGCTGGGAGTTGTAGTCCCGCCTCCTCTGAGCGCCCTCTGTGGCTGCAGCCGCGGCACTACCGCTCCCAGCGTGCCCCGCGCCAAGCCAACATGGCGGCGATCTGAGGGGTGTAACGGGGACCGTGGGGCTGGATAACGGCGGTGGTGGGGGCAGTGCGGCTCCGGGGTCCCCCCCATCACCGGGGGGAGGCTTCCGTGCTGGGGTGGAGGCGAGTCTGGATGGGGCCCGCTGCCCTGGTGAAGTGAACGTGTCTATATGCGGGTACAGAGGTGCGGGTTACAGGTAGGTCTGCGGGCCCGTTCACTTGGCAAAACGCCCCCGGTGCCCAGGCCTTGCTGGGGCTTGTGTGGGACATGGGTGCTGTTGGCCTTGTCTGGGGGCAGGGTACTGGGAGCATCCCGTTGGAGCGCTGGTGCTGTGGGAATGGCCCCTTCGTCCGTGCCCCCAGCCAGGAGCCGCCTGCGTGGCCAGGGCCGCTCGGGTGTCCGCAGGTCAGGCTGCAGGAGCGGTGTAAGCGGGTCTGTGGGATCATCACAAGGAGCAAGCCCAAGCCCTGCGGAGGAGAGGGTTTGGCAGCAGAGTGGGAGCTGGTGGGGCCGTGCTTGTCCATGAGAGCTCCTCGTGTGGGTGAGTTACAGTCGAGGAGTGGGGGTGGTTTTGGTGGCAGGACTGAAATGAGGGCTGGGAGCGGGGCTGGGGTCAGTTCCCTGTCACATCCCAAGCAGGTTTCCATGCCCTTGGGAGTGAAGGTTTGAGGCCAAGCTAACGCCGGTGCCTTTCTCTGCAGTTCTCAGGCACGTCACTGCTGGGAGAGCCACGAGGAGAGTCCCAGCTCTGCACCTGAACCCTGCATTGAACCCTCCTGAGCTGAGGCTGTGTCCTGCAGCCCCTGTCCTGCCACCTCCTGCATTGCTGCAGCACAGGATGCTCCCTCTGAGCTCCCTGGGTGAGAATCACAGCGTGAGCTCACTAACAGCCAGGTCCTGATGCATGTGACAGCTTGAAGCTAATGACATGGAAGCTCTTTAGAGCTGCCAGGTGACTGTGTTCCAGGGCCACTGATACGAAGCCAGGGTTTGCTTCCAAGTCCCACAGATGAGAATACTGCTGCAGGATGAGGAGCTGCGTAGTGAT